TTATGAACACAGTAGGCCTACAGTACCGTACAATGTACACGTATTGTACACGTATTGATGTACAATACACTGAAGGAATTATCAAGATATGGTGGGCCAGACCTGATCAATGGATCCCCAAATGATGTTCTTTGTTCGGAGTACATGGTTCTTTCCCGAGGTGAACACAGCATGGAATTACAAACAGAATCTATGAACACCCTTCCCCTTTATACTTCCCAGCATGCCCAGCAGGAGGGCTAGGGAGAAGTACATTGAATCACCCTGACCCATCCTCTGATGTCACATCGGTGACATCGCCGTCCTCCAGACTAACAGGAATTCACACTGGTGATTCATCATCGCTTGACTGACGGCAACATTGCTTTACTTACCAGCACAGCGAGCTGTGAATATGTAATGTAGGGTTTTTGCTGGTCCCAGAGGGCCAGCCTAATGTCTTCTTTGCATGATGACTGACTGACGGACTGAACGACTGTCACTTGTGAGCTTGGCAGAGCTATTGGATAGGTTACATGAACCACGCAACACCAATAAATGCGCTAAATCCACTGTATGGGCTCTGTGGGCCAACTAAATAGGGCACGTTTTTACCACTTTTGAGAGCTCCGTGGACGGTACACACAGCGTGAATGTGTCTGTACTGGTTCGCAACGAAGTACGCACAATTTCGTGAATGTGCTGAAGTTATTAGCCACAGCGTCTTTGCGCGAGCGTCAGGCGTCAATCAAATTTAACTTCAATGGTCTACCGGTAGCTCCCAGACTAATCCCCGCCCCCCAATAACTTTGAATCATTCATTCAAAATACGCAGTGGATGGACCAGGAACCAGTCTCCATGTAGGCCTGTACATGTAGGTTTTCCCGAACTTTCCTTTTCTGGCCCTTGAAGGGGTATTTGTACACGGAGCCCTTAGTTCAGATCCATGACATGACTTCCACTTCCGGTGACCAAAAAATGCCATTTTGAATCAAATGAACAGAATTTAGGGCACCCTGGGATCAGCTTTACAAGTCTTGCCCTAAATTTCCTTCTCATCCGAAGTCTTCCGCCCTTAAGACGCCATGCTGTCCACCCTTCTCCTTTGCCCCGACAATCCGGCCTCCCCGCCCGATTGATCTGTTTGTATTATAAGTTGACCCATTTCTCCATGCCACTGATGGAAAACGTACAGCCTTACTACGACCCCGGCAAACATGATCAAGGATTTCATCACCCACCCATTCCATCTTCCATTAAATACTAGATATGCCACAGGAAATGAAATTTGAGATTCTGGTAACTGGACAGCCTAAGCTGACAAAGCGGGTGAAAATTATGGTAGGAGGACATCAGACTTTACTGACCATTTACGGTAGGCCTACGGTACCATACAAAATTACCATACAACCATACCATAATTTGCAGAACATGTACAAATATGTACGATTGGTGAATGAATCTACATGAATACAATTTGTGTACATGTACATGTACATTATGTACACGTAATTTGTGTAATGTGAGTGCCCTGAATCATGATCAGCTTTTGCTGGATGGGTTACCCTCATTAATTAAAGATGGTTTTAAATAAATAGAAATATTCGAAACTATGCTCCTGAAACCCAACTGGATTTTCAAGAGTACTCCACATTGGGAACCAATCCAAAATACGGACAACCTGCTTAAAAAATTATCCTTCCTCATAACCCAGATTTTCTAATGGACAGTTTTTCCGATTCAAGGAGACACAACATTTCTGCTCTTTAATCATCCAAGTGCTGCAACATGTCACAGGCTCTTAACATTGGTAACATTTATCGTCTGCATTTGTTTCTTCAGAGGAGAAGCACCATTAGGGAATGATGCGCAGAAGGGGAGCTGTCAGGGGGGTGGAGGCGAATCAGTTAAAGGGGTCACTTCAGCTGTTGCTGATTCTGCAAATTGTTTTTGGAAATCGCCGCCATTGGCGCACGGTCTAAATTAAAAGAACACATCAATGTGGCAGGAGATGTGACAGCTGATTTGTTCACAATTTTTTTCTTCTCCGAGTATGGGAATTTTAGACCAACAGAAATTTATAAAACTAGTCAGAAACGAGAGGATAGTGTTGGATTTCTTTGAAATCCTGAGCCTAAGGTGGGAATGGGTTATGGGAGAAAAGGAACCTTTAGTCACCCTTGAATGTCTAAACACTAGTTTGTAGGAGCAGTTTGTAAACATTTTTGTTTGAGGCATCAGTTTGCTACATTCTTAACTTTGTACCTAGCTGTTTTGGACTAGAGTGACTTTATTTCATAAAAAGTAGGGCCTACATACTGACATGTTTAACCCTGGCGTCCTAGCCTTTGCTTTGGGATAAAGAACTGAGTTCTACAGAATACTATGAGTGTTGTGCAACCTTAAGTTATATAGTGAAGTATTTCATACTACAGTTTACTAGTACGAGTAGTAGTATTTTGTAGCTTTAGGTGAGGTTAGGATTTATGTACATGTACATGCCATGTATTTGTAAACACACAATACATTTGTACAGCATCATTTATCATACATGAACGTATACATGTACATGTACATTGTATACCGTACATGTAGAAGTATCACCATGGTGATAACAAAGCCCCTTGAAAGAATGTACATGTATGTACATTGTACATGTACGTAAAATGTAAATTTATGGAATTTATGTTGCAGTGCAGACGTGTTGCAATTTGGGTTCTACACGTGTAAACAACAACCTCAAGCCATTCAGATAAAACTTTGGGCTTGCTCAAAAACTAGACGAAATGGACTTTTGAGCTTTGTATTCTAATTGGAGTGTGTATAACTGAGACACACAATATTTTTCCCCCACCAGAGTTCCAACATGACACAAAACAGGTTCCCTCCGGACCGGACCCTGTGTGTGGGTTCAACAATGACACAAAAACTTCTCACTTGGAGGCCGGCCAAATGTAAATCAAAGCTAGTCACAATGGATGCGCGCAGCGTTCAGAGAAGTGGTGAATCTGCATACAATTGAACAAAACAACTAGGCACTTCAGTGATGATTTGAAATCATAACGGCTCAATAGATAATACCGTTTTGATATTTGTTAAAACGTTGAAATAAAATTTTGCTAAGTTGCTACTGTCCCTCACATGTAAATTCCTCATATTTATTATTTTCAAAACTCTAAAAAGAAGTTTACTTTTTCCTTTGAAAAGTAGTAGGCCTAGTTCTCCAAAATCAAGATATTTTGTATACATTGATGTCACTTGCTTGCAATATAGTTTCTACTGTCCCTGGCCCTCACATGTAAATTCCTCATATTTATTATTTTCAAAACTCTAAAAAGAAGTTTACTTTTTCCTTTGAGAAGTAGTAGGCCTAGTTCTCCAAAATCAAGATATTTTGTACACATTGATGTCACTTGCTTGCAATATAGTTTCTACTGTCCCTCACATGTAAAATCCTCATATTTATGAATTTTAAAACTCTAAAACGAAGTTTACATGTACTTTTTCCTTTGAAAAGTAGGAGGCCTAGTTCTCCAAAATTAAGATATTTTGTATACATTGATGTCACCAATACAGAATTCAAATCAAGAACATGAGAAGGTGGCTTGTCAACTTTTCCCCCATGTTTTTTGAGACAAGTTATTTACTGACCTTACTTCTTCATTGTTGCAATCTTGCATTTTCATTTAACCCAAACCTCGTCTAAAGCTACAAATACTAAAAGTAGTATTCAGCATAAAAAGTGAGCACAGCACTCATAGGTATTTCTAGTACTTGGGTACCTGCATTAATAATTTTTGTAGTACTTTGTAGTATACTATGTGGTACTGTACTGAGTGTACTCCAAATGAATTCTCAGGGGTTAGGTTAATGTGAATGTGAATGTACGTATGACGAAATAGCTCAAGAACATTGATTGTTTCTGTTGTCAAAATGCTTATGATTCTTACACCATAATTTGTTGTTTTTAACAATAACTGCATGTACTCGGTCCTATCCTAAATTCATGATAGCCTTATATTTGTTGAACATATTTAATTATACATTTTGTTAGTAAAACCGGAGGGGGCCCTACTTCGAGGATGGTCGGTTGTTGAAAAAACACAAATTTCACGTTGATTATCAGTTGAAATTTTGTACCTTGTTTTAACAGAAAAAATGTCAAATTGTGCAAGACTTGCCACAGACTTTGTAGCATCAATAATTGAGTGAAAACTGAACATATGACAGATGACCAACTGTTATTGTTAATAACTTCAACAGAATTTCTGTCTAAATTGAAATTACTTTAAATTTCTATAAGATGGAATTTTGCGTCGGGGTGATATAAATCAAATTATGTTTTGCCCTTCACCGACGTTTAAACACTGTATACTCAGTGTGTTACATATGACAGATGACGAACTGTTATTGTTAATAACTTCAACAGAATTTCTGTCTAAATTTTTTTCCATCTTTCACTCGGGAGGTAACACACTGAGTATACAGTGTTTAAACGTCGGTGAAGGGCAAAACCTAATTTGATTTATTCTAAATTTGTTTTCAATTTCTTGTAATACTTTCTTTAAATATAATATCAAGTTTTTTTCATACAAATGGCATGAATGACAGTGTTGATTTTGTAGGTGTTTTAGTAATGGTAATCAATACATTTTCCACTGAAATCCTAAAATTAATTCCACAAAAAGTGAAATGTGATGAATGATTACTCCTAGAACTATGAGGCTCCACGTAGTGGAGCCTCATACTAGTTCTAGGAGTAATGAATGATGTGGCTATAATTTAGGTAAAAAATGTCAGAGAGATGGTCAAACAATTAACATATTTATCCATTTGTATCCATTTGTTTAATATTAAGTAACCTTGACCAGAAATAACAAGACAAGAATATTTCCACGGGATTGACTGATCTTGAGTCATGCGAAGCAAGGCGGACATGAGTCGCGAGAGCACAGCGCGTAGCACGCCCGATTATTCCATCCATTCCGATACTGCGATAGACGAATCTTCGCCAACTTACCTAAACAATTCACCCCACTTAGGGCGAATAATGCGACCAAAAGGGCCCCACCTGCCCACCTACTCCTTCGAAACATCTCAGTATTATCCTCAGCTCCTCTTACTCGTTGTTTTCTTCGTGAAATATTCACCATAAAATTATAAATCCAGCCGGGCAAAGTCGCTGCACAACGTAAAAATATGGCCGCACAGTCTTGTCATGTCGTTCAGGAAAGTCGGTCCCAAAATAGACACAAACTACAGGTGACGTTATGGACGAGCTCATTCAACAAGGAGGTGTGTATATAACTCGAAGTGGTTTCGTAAGTTATATTTATGTATTTATCATGGTATAGAATGGGTGAATTTTCATATGAGGATAAGGAATTACAATAAATTAAATATTGGATTCTAAACTCTGTTAATGTGTTTTTGTTATTTCAAAATACTCCATATTCAATTCAAGTATTTTCCCCTCACTCGCGTTCAAGCATCATCTTCCATTAGATTTTACCCATGCGTGGTTGACCTTTCTTATTGATTGGCTCTTCCTTATTGTCGTTTCCTCTACAGCCTAGTGACAATTTGACGTAAGCCTAAACCCACTCCTTTCTATTCAAAGCAGTAAGGGTAACGAAAACAAAAGCTTGACAGCTCAAAAATGTGTAAACCCGGAAAGACAGGAGAGGTTTGTCACAAATTTCAAATGCAGATTGCTACGTACACGTCATTCAGATTATGCGTAGAGGGGAGTAAGCGCAGAAAAAGTAAGATCCTTATATTGTGCGACAACACAAGCGCACCTGATTATTTTCTTTTGATCGCAAATCTTGATTGATTTGTTAACGATTTCGTAATTTTGAGAGTTGTCACTTTCTGTACTATGTAATGTTATGCTTTTGATGTTACATTGATAGATATTCTTTACTTGCGTTTTTCCATACCCAATCAACCGTTGAGTGAGTACCGGTTTCCGGTTTCCCGCACACAAGGAACTTGGGGGGGAAAAACCGAAATCGTTGAAAAGAACAAAAACAGGTGTGCCTTACTCCCAGTTAGATCCGTTTCTGACGTCAAAGGGGGATTTCATGTGAAAAAGTTCTGATACCTTTGCATTTCATGATTGAACAGAATCTACGAAAACATAATTGTATCCGTCCCAAATTGCTTTCGACAAGGATCAAAACGTAGGCTTACCATGGAGAAACCATGGAGGTAGAAATGAGAGTAAATCCAACTTGATACCAGAACAAAGACTATGGAAAAACATTTTCGTTTGATATTTGATATAAATTACATATGAATATGATCCTATTAATAATCTGATGATAACCATCTGCATCATTCACAAAGATGCATACATTTGCCGCGCACATACACATCATCCTGTCAAAACGAGAGAAAAAAGTTCGGGGGAAAAAATGGCATGACTGTCACACTTTCTCTTTCAACCAAACTAAATTTCTGCAAATTTCGTCCGGCACCACCGCCTTTTATATAGCAAGAAAACCGAAATCCAAAACCCCATTGTAATAGTGTGTTTTCCCCCGCAGGATTTTACAGGCAGTGATTTTTTTCACATGCAATGTTCTATTGTGTGGGTCTATTTTCCCACAGCCACCTCCGTCACAATAGCTCGAACCTTCGCAAGGCCGCCCAACTGTTAATGAAAAAAAACCAACACCGACATGAAGTCCAGTGTAATGTTTGGGTAACCTTCGGTGAAAATTATGAGCTCTAATGAAGCGTTGGGAGTAGCCGAGCGTTATGAATGCATGCAACTTGGATACATCTCTCAATAAATTATTCAGTGGATATTTTTATAATGATATTGGGCTTGCAGAAATTGATAATTTGACCACTGGAATTAAAGATAAACTAAAGTGGCTTCCTAAGACAAATTTAAGATTTGATAAAACTGTATATTCCTAATTAAATTAAGAATGCAAATTTTGCCTCAATAAAAAAGTATAAGCTCCGATATGGAAAGTAGAAATATACAGACCTGAATTTATTTTCAAAGTAAAAAAAAAGATAATTTTCTCACTCAATTTGCCAACTTTTTCAAATAAATAAAATACCTTTGTAATTGTAATAAAAAGCAGTGTTAACTCAACATCTTTTTAGCGGAAACGACGTCTTTGAAGATACTTGGCTTACTTTTCTGAGCACCTTTTTGGGGCGAGACAGCAATGTGAAACTGTACTCTGTTCCACACACTACATGTACTTATGTACAAGAAACGCGAAATTGAAGACGCTTCGAGTCGTCGCCAGTGAGCGTTTATCAACTGTCATCGAGTTGATCCAAACTGGCGAAGCGAGAAATGTCTACCAAATTATCACGAAATGTGTGCGATGCTAGAAAGGTAAAGCGGTCGGCTTGTTTGAAAAAGTCTACTTTCAGTCGAGTAACCTAAAACGATCCCCACGCTCTATCCCAGAAGATCGATGCTGATTGTTCTTGACATTAAGACGGTATCGACTAATCTAGACCGCGTTGCTACTGGCTAAAAGTCCCGAATTGGGCGATCGATGTGTAATGTGATTGGCTAATTCTTTTACGCGGTGCATTCCAGACACCTCGGCGTTATGTAGGTGAATTGGTGTGGTGCAAGGGTATCAGAACGGATGAAACTACAGTGTATTTGGAGTGAAAACGATTCTGGCGGTTAATTATATGAGCGGACGAATCATGTGGATAACATGATGACGTCAGGGTTAGTGATGGTGGTAATGCTTTGGTGAGTGTGGTGATAGTGGCAAGGTGCAGAACTTGATGGAAATGCTGATGGTTTTTGTGAGGATGATCGTGATAATGCTTATTACGGTTATGATGTCGTTTCTTATGGGAATCACTAACCGCAAGTCCAATGGTCACTATTAGGCATGGAAGTCGCGAAGGGGGGGGGGGGGGGCAAGGGGGCGCTTGCCCCCTCCCTCCCTCCCCACTGGAGAAGCCAAAAAAAAAAGGAGGGGGAAAAAAAGAAAAGAAAACAAAGAGGTGCGCAGTCATATTGCTGTTAATTCAATGGGTTGGGGGGGGGGGGCAAATGTCCCTGCCCACCCTCGAAAAAATGATAAATCGAGAATATGCTGGAAAAGTATAGGGATTTTGGAAAAAAAATGTGCTTTGCTTTTCTCTAGAAAAAAATCTGGCCACGGCCATGACTAAAGGTGTTGACTAAATAAGCAAGTAATAAGAGAGAACGGGAATTTGTTGAGAAGTTAAAATCAAGGGGGTCTTTACAAGGAGTTCCACAATAAGCCAGTGAAGAAACGTCAAGAGACTTCACCGTACAAGCCCTACAAAGATATGAGAGGTGGCAGCAAATCGAGCACCCTTACGGTTCGGGGTACGCGTACGGCAGAGGAGGAACACGAACTGAGGTCCACCTGATGAGGGCATCCCGTAATGATGGTACCTGTAAAACAAGGTCAAGGACATAATAGTCAATTGGTGAGAGGGGATGGTGGTGATGATTGTTGTGGTAGTGGGGGGGGGGGGGGTGATGATGATGATGATGGGGATGATGGGGATGATGATGATGATGAAAAGAAGAGTTTGGAGCGGATGTGAAGATGGATGAATATGAAACTGCATGGACGGATGATGATGATGATCATCATGATAAGCATGTGAGGAAGAAGCCAGATTTAGGACACTGATGGGGATACTGACGATAAAGACGATAAGATGTTGGGGATCACTCGGATTGATGAGGATGATGCACATCATGGAAACAACATGGCGGATGAGAAGAGCGGTGAATGAGAGGATGACGAAGAAGGGACGAATAGGTACTGATGGTGATGACTAAAGAGAACTCGGGAACATGAAGTGATGGAAAGTATAACGTTGATGATACTGGGCCAAACGAACGTCCAAAATATGAAACCAAAATGGCTTTTTTTGCTGCTCCGGCTCCCAAAGAACCAATGTCTTTTTGTACCCATCTCATTGAATGACTCAGTGACTGGCTAACTGACTCACTGCCACTTGAGAACCAGGCAGTGCTATCGTATATGATTACCCCATGACGTGGCTAATTCCGGCCCATCATGTGGACCAAATCCATGTAAACTCTTCCAGTGAATAGCCATCTGAATCAATGAAGCAGAATGGTGTGCGCTCTGACCGGCTGTACTCGACTTCCCGACCAAACTCTCAGAATAGAATCTAGTGTCTGATCTTATCTCTATCTATTTCATCATTATTGTGACTAAGCAATTGATGTTCAGGGGTCACCGACTATGAACATCGAATATTTTAATTGGAGTTGGCCTTACGGAGGACAAAAAATCGAAATCGTCCGGAGTTAATTAGCTTAGGGACGCCGCGCATTACCCGGGGCAAGAGAGCAGTCTTCTTTTTGCGCTTGCAATGCAAAGCTGGGGGTAAAGGTTTGTAGCTCTATGGACAAGCTGATCTGATTAGGGGACAGTTGGTTTCGTTCTCATGACGCACGCAAACAATCTACTTTGATCAGGTGAGATAAATAGAGGGCGCCATTGATCTGTTGACATTTTGGCAGAACACATTCGGGGGTGCTATTAGTCTGTCTAGAACCCATAGAACTGACTCAGTGTGAAGTTATCGTATTTTTTGGGCTGATAAAAAAACAAATCGGAAATCCGTTTTAACAGTCTTAAAATGTGTTAAGTAATAATTCAATATAACTAACATCGGCCGATTTTGTTTGGTATGTCTCATTCAAAAATTAATAAGTTTTGTATTGTTAGAAAAGTTGCAAGTTAGAAAATGATGAAAATAAAAAAAACCCACAGGAATCAACTTTAAAGTCTTCCAGAATGGAACTTTTATTTAAAAAATGCTCTTCACAGTAAATCTAAAATTTTGAGTGGTCAGACTCATATCTTTTAATTTTTAAGACTAATTTAACATGACATTAAACAATTGCAAGTAAATTTATTTTCAGTACTGCTATTACTGATATATTACAATTTATAAATATATAGTTTTTTTTATTTGGGTCATGAAAATTTTGCTTTAAATGCCTGTTTATCCACAAATGCCAATTGCAAGACATCTATGATTATCTTTGATAAAAAATACAAGTTACGACATACAATGCTCATTTTCCTTTTTGTTGTTGATTTATTAAAGTCACCAGTAACCATAAAAGGTGAACTTCAAACTCAATAATTTAGAGTTTAGAAATTTGGTATGGATTTAAAGACATTAAAAAATTACAACCAAAAGAAGGGATACTTCTCTTGGCCTTTCACAATGTATCCTCACATTGATTGAAATTTTATAAATTAGTAAATGTTTATAAATCAACAGAAACCTAGACTAACTCAAGAAGGTGTAGAGTAATCATGATAACATCATTCTAAACAAAATATACGAAAACAAAAGAGACGGCCATATATACAGATAAACTTTCAAAATACAAAGATCAAAATAGCACAACACATATTGGCACAAAATGTCCATTCAATGTCTACAGAAAGCACCAGCAAATAACGCTCAAGACTGGGAAAGAAGTAGCTGCCGAAATAATATGACCAATCTACCAATATACCTAAGTTCTACCAACTCCCTCCATTGAATAAGAAAGAGAAGTTAAAATTAGGAAATCAGGAGAATTGTCCAAGTCCTAGCATTTTTATAGTACAGAGAAGTTTTATTATTTTCTTAGTAGAGAGCACATACGAAAGCCAAATTTCTAAAAGAAATAATTTGGAACGCAAAAGCAGACACCATTGAATGAAATGTACACTATGAAATAAAAATCTCACGTAGCTAAAATTGTTTCTGGTACATCTATGCAATAATGGAACAACACAACTATATGGGTAGCGAACTTAACAAAAGAATGTCGAGTGACAACATTGTATAATAAATGTCATTGGATTTCTTTAAAAACAAATATAACAATTCAGTGCATACTGGGTGTTAACACTAAATCCGATGTTGCAATAACCATGATAGTTTTGTTCATGATTAATACAAGGCCGATTTTCAGAGATGCCACAGGGTCTGCTTGAAAAAAAAAACCCCGGAACTTTATTGTTTGTGAAAAAGCCACTCCGATACAAAGTCCCCGTTGTCATCTTGCTCTTGTTGTAGCCAAACCCAGTTCCATTTATTTTTGCTTCTATGGCCTTAAGCTGTCGGTTCGTTCAATCACTTTGAATTTTTCCATAATCCTATTATTTATTCTGCCTTCCCAAATTGCCAACGCAATATTCAACACGAAACATCGGAAACATGCACGATTTCACAACACTGTCGGGGTGCGTTCGAGAGTGTTACTCTTGGTACCCGGCGTTTTTTGTATTCACATATATCACTGCGATCGGGAACCACCGAAAACTGAAGTGATAGTCTTGATTTTCAGGCTGAATGCTACATGTGCTTAGCACACAACACGCCTGCAAGTGGTGCATGCAGCATGCCAGGCGCTGTTGTATACTGCGTGCAAGAACGTATGTTGGCCGCCTGTATCGCATGCAGGCTCGGCAACAACAAAGACTTGTATTTAAGACTACATTAACGAACCACGTTGTGCCTTGCGTGCGTAATCGAGAGCACTATTAAAAACGAGGTAAAAATCAACGCATTTCCACAGTTTTTCTTTTCTTTTTCCAGTTTTTGTTTACGGCTGGAAAACCAGAATCTTGTGAGATTAAAAAAAACCCCGGAATTCCAGTTTAAACCAGAAAAGTGGCATCTCTGGATTTTGTTCACCATCACTGGATCACACCGTGCCGGAGTGTCCATCACATATGCATTGTGTGAAGCTCTGTACATGTACACATCACTGGACGTGAGTGCATTGCATGAAATACCGAAGTGAGGTTTAAAGCGTCCCAGTAAATGTTGAATAGCTGCCCCCGGATGATAAAAACATAAATGGCAATGGACAAATGTTAAAAAAATTAATTAAAAAAAAATTCCAACAAGTTGAGATTGAAGCCAATGTTCCATTCGCTATTTTTTACGACTGCGTGAAAATTCACTCTTTCAAAAGGAGCCAACTTTGTTGCAAGATGTCAGGTGGCATAAGGCAAATTTTTGGCAGGTTGCTTGGGGGAAAGGTCCAACGGGTGGGCCATGAGTCCAGAGACCTTGGCAGAAGTTGGTCTTGCTTGATCCAGATTCTAGAGTTGCATTGAGATCACTTGCTGGCTTGCTGGACCTGGGAGCTCGCTACTTGAAGGAGCTTTTCACTGGGGCCTGGGGTCAGGTAAAACAACGAAAATGGTCACAAAAGTCACAAAATGGTTGGAGAAAATGATGGAGCTAAGAAAAATTGAAGAAATGTTTAGAAAAAAAAACCGAATGAAAATGATCAAGAAAATCATTGAAAAATAAGGAAATGCGTCAGAAATGATTGGGGAAATGGAAAAATAGTAAGAAAATCAGTGAAAATTATAACAAAATCGTAAAAATTGTCTCAAAAGTCATGGAAATGGTCAGTAAAATCACAGGAATGGTCAAAAATAGATCTGGAAGATAATCTTAGATCAGAACAGCGCACTTACAAAGTCTACGTTTGTTGTTTGGAAAGAAAAGTGTTTGACTTGTTCTGACTTACCGATGTTTCCTGTGACCTTTTCAAATTCATTGAGCGCCTGGCTGGAATTACTGGCCAGAAACTCGGACTCGGCTGGCGTCAACTGCAAACGGTGAGTGAAAACAGATAACAAATGACGACAAATGTTTTTTTTTTCAAAAAGGAGTAACATCAAAATAGCTGAACAGTATAAAATTTCTGTATCCCATATTTGTGAGGCGTTCTTGCAAAATGAGACAGAACTGGGCAGAGGTCGAAATGAGGGTTTGCAGGTATTAGGAATGAGAACATTCTCCTTACAATACTGTTTGCTGCACTTCAATTGGACGTTCTGTTGACAAGTTAAGGCCCCACATTTAAAGCTAAAGTCCATCATTTGCAGCTATCCAAAAAGTAACTGGCGTAATTCTTGTTGAAAAACATACTGAAAGATAGTAAGGGGACTAAACACCCTGTGAAATTATTCTTTCTGGAAAGCTGTCATTTTGAAGAAATCAACAAAAGAAGGCCTTTCCAATGGTGCTTCTTAAGACGCACCGTAGGAAATTTAAATTAGTAGTTCGTTTTGTTTTGCAGCGAAGCGCGCGCAAGCATTGGCACGACGCACATGTATGGGCGGTTGCTATAATTCGTCGGATCAGTGCGCGACATCGCGTAGCTGCAATGGGCTCAGTGAGAACGTGTCTCGGACACTGAATTCAGGCCCAATTCAAAACATGATTCAGCAACATTTGATTTGAAATCAAGATCCTAGAATGCTGTTTTTCTCGGAATATACAGCTGAAGCTGAGCTGAAACTTCATCAGGTAAGTTGTTCAATACCCTTCTTTAGATTTTGAGCATGTTTGTTGCTTCAAACGAACAAAATGCACAAATTACAAATAATGGACTATAAATACTTCGAGTTATTCTTGGGAGAATATAGATGAAAAATTTTAAATTTTGTTATCCCACCTTTTCTCCCAGCTTTCTGAGCGCTGTCAGGATCTCCACCTTCTGTTGTGTGTAGCTGTCGTGGGACAGCTTCCCTACTTTACCATCTCTTTCAACCTGGTTACAAAAAGGAAAAACAAAAATTAAAAATACGGTTTACAACGACATAAATATGAACCTGTACGAGCTGCATAGTGAAGCTCGCCTCCGAAGGTGATCGGTTGAGTGTTGAATTACGTGTATCTAGATGCAAAGCCAGGGCAAACAAATGCTTTACATTTAGACAACTTTAATCATTGACTTACTGGTTGAAAGGCTGAAGAAAAATCTGCTTTAAATTTGAATGCATACCTCAAACTGTTTGATAAATTTGTTGGCCGACATTTTGAGCAAAAGTGGCCTGGGCCAAATTTTCCGGCTCCACGCAGGATTCGGCACTCAAAGTTCTGCACTTATCCAACTAGTACCAAAAGTACAAGGTGTACGGCATGTGAATAGTGCATCAGCCAAAATGCCATGAAACGCGCCCTACTAACTACAGCAGAATCTTGCACTACAGTCAGCAGAGATTTTCCCCTTGCGATAAGCAGACCTGTGTATTGGGCCATGTTGTTAACAATAATAATAATACTGAAGTCTTATATAGCGCACGTATCTACCAACAATTAGGTACTGAAGGCGCTGGAAATTATGTCTATTATTAGAGACAGGTAAATGAAGTACATGAGAAATATGAGAACCATTATGTAGCACCTTATGGTTTACAAGGTGCTGCAGCGCATATTGCAGCCACTGCCAGAAACACAGGGGGAAACCCCTTCTCTTACACACGGGACCTACGGCTTTACGTCCCATCCGAAGGACGAAGCAATAAAATGGTAAAGTGCCTTGCTCAGGAGCACAAGCACAATGTTCCCACGGTCAGGATTCGAACCCATGTACCACGGTACACGAGTCGAACACCATAACCATTGGACCACAGCACCCCATTGTTCAGAGCATGAGATCTCACTCTCCTAGAGATCTGTCCAAAAAAAGGTTATCCAACGTTACGGCTACATCTATCATCTGCATGTGCCAGTGCCAACTGTCCAAGCCCTAGACACTAGCCCTAGACTAGTGATTGGGACGAGGCCTAGAATTGGGTCCATGGGGAAGTGGGGCATCCTGGGCAATTCCACGGTTACTCACGTTACATTTTTGATGTACTTTTTAGTTTCCTTGGGCTGTAATTACCTTACTGAAAAGGTTTAATAACTGTTATCCCCATGGTAGATAGAGTAGACCTAGACCTACCTAAGCACCAAAGATGACATCCAGAAAAATATGTTATGTATGATAAACAAGAAGCACAATATCGGTTACTCACATTACGAAAATGTAACGTGAGTAACCGATTTTGTGCGTCTTGTTTATCATACATAACACATTTCTTCTGGATTTCATCTTTGGTGCTTACATGCAGGTAGGTCTAGGTCTACTCTATCTACCATGGGGATAACAGTTATTAAACCTTTTCAGTAAGGTAATTACAGCCCAAGGAAACTCAAAAGTACATCAAAAATGTCACGTGAGTAACCGTGGAATTGCCCTCCTGCATACATGTGGATTATATTGATGATATCGTCTTACCTCTGCTAGCCTTTGCCTGAGCTGGCCTGGCTGCTTCTTGGCAAAGAGCCTGATGACTTCTGGTGTCTTGAAGGCCTGGCTGATCGCTGCTTGGATTGCCTGCGTGTACAAAAGATAATGGGTCACTAGGGAGACATTCCCATGGGCTCCGTGCGCCAACGAAAGAGGGCGCATTTTTACCTCTTTTGAGAGCTCTGTGGACGGTACACACAGCGTGCGCGTACTGTACTGTTCTGGTTTGCAAGCGAAGTATGGACGACTTCCTGAATGTGCAATAGTTATAGCCACCGCGTCTTCGCATGAGCGTCAGAAATCGTCGGCGCACAAATACACTCGAATTCAACTTGGGATGGTCTCCGAAACTAATCCCTGCCTCCCCTAACTTTGGATACATTTGAAATACACAGTGGATGGATCGGGAACCAGTCTAGGTCACCCCAAACTCTCCTTTTCTGGCTGTTGATGGGGTACTTGTGCACGGAAGCCATAGACCTGTGCGAAATTTGTTTTCCAAATTTAATGACCACTAACCCCAATTTTACCTTTTCATACCCCCATGATTTACGGTATTTTTACTAATAGGACCACGAGCAATCGGCCTAGCCTACATGTATTTGCGACAGTAAAATTTTGCCTCTAAATAGAAGCTGAGGCATTAAGGAGACATTGAAATGTCTCCGTAATTCCACGTCTCCCAAAGGTATAACTTATGATGCTAAAGTTTCTCCCAATGGTCCTACTTGTGGTTGAAATGGGGGGTGCTTATACAGGGTGTTTCAAAAAAAGAGGAAACCCAACTTCAAAGAATGAGTATGGACAGACGATATGTTTACTGGCTATAAAACTGGTATCATCTGAAAGCGTAATCTCTATGCTTTCCAATGATACTATGTTTAGGTTTCCTGAGTCATGCATCACTGAGCTTCATTGTCTTGAAAATAGGATGCAAAAATGCAGTTGGTTCACTTTCATAAAAAAAAAACACTGGGCACGGTGTGCCTATTGTTATGGAAATGTCTGTGAAATGGCTTGAATGTTAATCCTTGAGAAAATGGGATATTGTTTTGAACGTAGCTTGGTCAAAACAAGAAATTCATGACAAACAATAAAATCCAGTTTTGAAACCAACCCGACTTGGTTTTTGGTTTCTTTTTATGCACTGGTGTCTGCTTCTTGAATACTTATTCTCATGCACACCATGCCTATTGTGTTTGACATGAAAGTGAACCAACTGCAATTTTGCATCAAAATCTCATGACAGTGGCGCTCAGTGATGCATGACCCTAGAAATGTAAACAAGGTATCATTGAAAAGCATAGAGATTACGCTTTTCAGATGATAACAGTTTTATAGCCAGTAAACATTTAGTCTGTCCATACTGGTTCTTCAAAGTTGGGTTTCCTTTTTATTGAAACACCCTGTATAGCGCATTATACCAAAGGGATAAGTCTACAGGAATGGGAAAATAACTTCATCAAAAAGGCGATCTACTTACAATCTGCATTCCGTTGAGTTCATCCACTAACGTCATGTTACCGGCCATCATCTTAGTCAGTGACTCCTTGAAGTCCTGTAGCTGCTCTATGGTGTCTTGCTTCGTCTCCTCATATTCATCATCATCCATGTCCTCCCTAATGCCACATACAGGGAAAACAGTGATTGGTAAACTGCCCTGGATCTGAGAAAACTTCTTAAGGACAACTATTTTCGCAGTGGCTATCGTTACGGCAGCCGTAACGCATTTCCCATTTTCTATCGTTACGGCAGACTGCAACTTTTATAAAAACATGAGAAGAAAATATAAAATTAGAAGGAAAAAAGTGAATTTGAACGTTATGAAATTCGGACTTTATTTCCCTTTTAAAAAAAATCCTCCAAAGCCTCAGGTTAGAAAAGGAAAAAAATTTGAGTGCAAAACTGAGATGCGAACCCGCAACCTCGCGGTGCAAAATCCTACCCTCTATCGACTGAGCTGTCGCACTGCTCGCTAAAACGTGGGGAAACAAATAATTATATACCTGCGTGCGTATCAAAAAAGTATCGTAGAGGGCGCTAAACAACGGCTGCCGTAACAATAGCCACTTCGTTTTCTTTTTTTCACCATGGATCTGATTGAAGTGAAACATTATTTATCTTAAAATCATATGCAGTTTATGTAAACCTATGCAAGAATGTAGTATGTAGACGCAACTTTGTTGCCTATGCACGGAGTCTATGAGAATTTAAAATATATTGAAAAACAAATTGAAAACATTTTAGGTCTGAAAATTGATTTTTCTCCCCCAAAATATATTGTATGGTGGCCCGACATGGCAATGAACTATCATGGCCCTAATACAAATAAAGTGAATCCGAGAAGCTGCATGCTTTCCTACGCTTAACTTTGTATTTCACATTATTTGGAAAGACTGCAGTATGCTGACACAGCTACAACCAATTTGTGCAAATTTCCTGGGGAGTCATGAACATTTTCTTTATTAAGGGCGTGCTTTTCAATGTTTCTTTCTTTTTTTCAACACATTTGCAATGACTGACCATCAAATATCCTTAAAAATAATTTATGTTTTCAGCGATAAATTCATTTTGGTCAATGCCTGACCATCAATGAAGTTAGGCGAAAGTAAAAAAAACCACATGTTTCTCGTCCCCGCCCGCTTCCTTTTTGGAGGCCGCCTGGATTTTTTTACTATTTTTTATTTTTAAAACATGCAGTAAAAAAACACCGAAAAAGTCCACAAATTCATCGGAAAATAAATTGTAGACCAATACAAGTCTAAATGACACTGTAAACATGTTCAGTTCTCTTGTCCAACTTATCTTTCATTTTAAAAGTGTCTTTGAACAGTGGAAACACCAACGGTTGCAGGAAATTTTTAAATGGCAGCCATCTTGAAACAAATAAAAAATAAAAAATAAAAAGCCCCGCTTCCTCCTTTTTTTCGAAAACCCGGACGAGAAACGTGTTTTTTTTCATTCGGCCTTATATATGTGATGCAATCAAGCTACATGAGTCGTTTGTCAGGAATTTTCATTTGGAGATTCAGACCAAAATAGGGCCACTTCATCACATCACTTCATCACATCTCTTGGTGTTCCAACTTCCATAATTTTTGAACTAAAGATGGTATCAGCATGTGGTTTTCACAGCAGTAATGCTGAGATTGTGCTCTTTTCAAATCTGTTATAAAAATTGTTTTGACCGGGGTCAACAAACGACTCATTTAGCTTGATTGCATCACACATGGAGAAAAATTTGGAATCAGGAAACTACATGTACATCAAAATGTTTGACCTTAAACCGCCCTGAATCCTCCAAAATCCTTTTTGCAAATTGGAGGAATTTGCAGGATTGAGGTTACATGGCCAAAGTGCGTTGCTGATTTCAGAGTACGCACTGTGTCAAGGTCTTGGGTCGGACCTTGTGTTGTTTATGCTCAACCGTGCATAAATTTAGTCCTTGATTATACACGACATCCTCCGCACTGCTCCAGGATGTCACTGCCTCTGCCTCATCCTATTGACAGTCATAGCCGGAGGATTTTGCAGGATTCAGGCAGTGGTCACCCCTCCATCGACCATATTCAAGAAATAACGGAGGAATTTGCAGGATTGAGGCTATATGCTATTTTTCCATGAGGCCAATTGGAGGATTTTGCAGGATTGAGGCTACATCCTAGCAAAAAGGCCTAGGGAGTTAGGGTATAAATCTATAAAACAGGCTGTATTTAATACCTAGCCTCTTCCAGGTCTGACAGCTGGGCCATCAATCTGTCTAACTGCTCCTCCATGTTCTGTTTCAACTTTGTCGTCTCGGACTGCCCACGGGATGCCATCTTTGATTGAAGTCAAAGTACACTGAACTCAAGAATGAGATGTTTGTCTGTTGCTCTCTGTTGTTTCACTGAAAAAAGTATAAAAGTGAGTTTTAAGGAAGTTACAGCTCAAAGAGTACTTGTACTGGAAGTCTGGCACTTCCACTATGTATTTCCTAACAAAATTGGAAGTGTTTCTCAGGGAGTGATTCCCATATCTGGCCGTCACTAATTTTTCCCTTCAGTGACCTATCAGCCGTCAGAAAGTGATATTAATAATATGCCACCTATGTCCTAAAATTTCAAATTTTGCAGGGTAAACATATTGAAGTATTTACTGAGAAAACACATAGAAATTTTCAGACCAGTCTCATAAGGTTTGTGTACAGGGTGACAAGTGATGGCCAGATATGGGAATCTTTCCCTTCTGAGTTCCAGATTCATGTCTTATCATCATTTTCACGGGTCTAAAATCAACAAGGCCTGCACAGGCTGCAGTCTACATGTGGAAATAACTTTTGAAACATGTCCTCCCGGTGTACATGGTGTAAGCAACTAAGCATGGTAAGTGAATTCAGGGAGTGTGGTGTGGCCTTACTTTACAGCGATCGTGTAGTGTAGGGCCCCTGTTTTGTTTTGATCAAATTTGAGTCAAAAATGTTTTGTATTGATCAAAAATCACCTTAACAATCAAAAGCAGACTTTTCTCAGTTCTAAATGACACCCGTTTTGCAATTTTGAACAGTTTTTTGGGGTAGAAATCACGATTTGCCTGCAGGGTTTGCGCCTTGCGATTCAGCACGCCGTACCTGCTCACGGTACACTGCGTGGTGATCACCATATTTATTTTCGGGTTGCGTGTTGTCGCCGCACTGTCCTCGTAATTTTACCCCCAAATTTCCCTCAAAAATCAAAACCCTGGCCTCTATCTAGTCGGAAATTTAACGTGTTCAAGATCACGAGGGGAGCTCTTGGAATTGAATGGGAAATTTCACTTTTCATCCGGATCGTCAGTAAACTTCAGTACAAACTACAACCATCTTAATCATCGATGTCTACTTGTTACCTCAGGCATTTTGTCAGGTGGCGTATCTGGTAATTTGTAGGCCATTTTGAGGGTGAAATCTTACTCCTAGAACTATGAGGCTCCGCGTGAGCGGAGCCTCATAGATGTAGAAGCCCGCAAAATTGTCTGCAGCACAAAACACTAATAAAGTACAAAAACGTCCATCAAAATGCAGACATTTCACACAGAACCGCTGCACAGTTTGCCCCTATTCTCCGTATTTTACCTCTTGACATACTCACGTATCTTGGGCACAACTAACATAGGTGGATTCTGTCGGTTTTTAGGCCAAAATGATGAAAAATATGCCCTTTCCGCACTGAGCCAACCGAACACTTGAAACGTGCACGCATATGATCGAGCGATGATTTTCGGTTCGCTCGGAGCGCGCCGCGGGGGGTACGGTACATGCACTTGTACGCATGCACATACTATCATTTCGCCTTGTACCGTACCCCCCGCGGCGCGCTCCGAGCGAACCAAAAATCATCGCTCGATCATATGCGTGCACGTTTCAAGTGTTCGGTTGGCTCAGTGCGGAAAGGGCATATTTTTCATCATTTTGGCCTAAAAACCGACAGAATCCACTTATGTTAGTTGTGCCCAAGATACGTGAGTATGTCAAGAGGTAAAATACGGAGAATAGGGCCAAACTGTGCAGCGGTTCTGTGTGAAATGTCTGCATTTTGATGGACGTTTTTGTACTTTATTAGTGTTTTGTGCTGCAGACAATTTTGCGGGCTTCTACATCTATGAGGCTCCGCTCACGCGGAGCCTCATAGTTCTAGGAGTAGGTGAAATCTGATGTTTTTGTTGGGCAATGTTGGGTTTCTGGGTCAATGAAAGAATTGTGTTGCTCGGCATATAAGGATTAGCTTGGACCGTACCGCCAGACCATGTCCGAATGTTAAAAAGGCGATAAGTTGGGTCCAAGTTTAAGTTACTTGGACTAACTAACCCCTGCGCGGCAGCAGACGACACACTGCCCATTCACTTCAATTCACTTCACTTCATTCACTTTACTTTATTTTGATTAAGAAAAAAATAAAAAGATTTTACGTACACAATTATCTGCTGCGGATAATGTTGTCATTTCTTCCTTAAACAGACTTCACAAAACTGGATTTTTAAATGCAGGAAGTGTCAGCCCCAAACAAAGACCGAGTGACAACTACAAGGTTTTCCTCGAAAACAACCGAAGATGTCAAACCCAGTAACCCAGACTCTTTTCAGCGAGTCTTCAATACAAACCTGTGAAATAGTTTGGTACCCGTCTAGTCTAATCTTACCAGCTCTAATGTAGGGCGCCCTCATGCGAACAGTCGCCGAAACGTATTTCGCAAGGAAGCAGACACTGTATAAATAAACTATATAAAAATGGTATCACACAACCGCCAACTGGAATGGAAATTAAACACAAAACACTACCTACTTTTACCTATTTGAAACAAAAAATGAAAATACGGACGTGCTCGAAAACAAAAATTAAATCACCAACTAATAATAAAAACATGGTGTAGGCTAGTTGATCTTTTTATTTAGAATGTGTAGTTTATCTTTAATCTTCCCTGCTGCACACAAAATGTTTTAACAAGGATCCTACTTCGTTTTATAAGCCACAAAAGATAATACCAACAATTTCAGATTCCAAACTTGATAATTGTTTTTGTTTCAAAGTAAATTAAAAGCTTCCATTTTAGAACCATGGCTAATAATGAAACCTAAATAAAGGTTCCACTGAACGTTGAGTTGAAAACTTTATAGGAAACAAAAAACAAAAGCAAGTTTTATCTACAATAGCAAAATCTCCACGCCATATTATTGTAAAGAAAAAAATACACGTACACATGTAATGAGTGTCAAAACTGGTGTTTGTTTTTAATCTAGAGCCATTTTCGAGTTAAATCTATTTACAAATCTACATGAAGCTGATTGTACTGCCGATTTGATTCCATAAATGCGCTAATGAAAGAAATGTTTAAACTTATCAAACAACTTATGTTTACTATCTATAAATTTCATTCATAATTATTGTACAGTCTAACACCTTTTAAAACAAGGTCCTTGGGACTTTACGAATTGCCTTGGCTTGTTACCTTGTATTATCAGTAATGGAAAACAAAGAAAAACAAAGACTTGGGATCTAACATTTTCCTTATTATATTGTGGATAATTTTATTCAGCCACAGTGATTGTGTACATGATAAAAAAAAAAATTGAATTCAAATTACTTTCATGTGTGCTTGTACATCCCTTGTAGTATGACCCTCAACTTTGGAAATTTGATCTCAACAATCTATATTCCCCGATTGTTTAATGAGTCTCTTTGGGGTTTCAATTTGTATTCATCTGTAATTTATTTTAAATAGGAGGTTTGCGGTAACACCATGTGAATGATATCTCTTTTGAGTTGTGTGGTTCTGAAAAGAACCAGTTGGTTTAACTCGGCGTTTCGAACAGTATGCTCCGTTTGTCATCAGGAAATTACGCTCTACTGATGACGAACTTGACCATTACTGCTTCGTCCTTCGGATGGGACGTTAAGCCGTAGGTCCCGTGTGTTGTTTAATTAATGCAATGCACGTAAAAAAACCCAGTGACACTTATCACTAAGAGAAGGGGTTTGCCCCGGTGTTTTTGGCCTCCTGTATAAACTCCCACGCAGAGTATTTAGGAGAAGAACCAACCAAGAACCAAAGAAATCTTGATCATTTGGAACCCTCTTGCTGCTCACAGATAAAGCTCACTGCTTCCTCATGTGGGCCCAAAAAATAATAAGGCACATTGTGAAATATAAATCACCACATTTTAACTACATGAATCTATCTTTTAATCAATTATGTAATCAGCTCTGCAGGTACTCCATAAATTAATTGGTTTATAATTGATTTCAGAGAGATTTCACAATAACAAATACATATTTTGAAATATGAAAATATACAAGTACATTTGTACATGTACCTTAAATCATGAACTAGTGTGTCAAGCCAATTTGAAGAAAAAAAAATTACCGAAACTGAACACTAGGCTTTTCCATCAACTTTTACATTAACTTTTACATTAAATAATTATCATAAGGGACAAAAAAATAAACTGATTCGAAAGAAAATTAAAAAGTAGCCAAACTATCAGTCTGTCTTCAGCTATCTACAGAGCAAAATATTTACAAAGATGTATCAATGTTCTTCAAATTTACAAGCAAATAAAATGCATTAAAACAAAAACCGACAGCTTTAATTTTTAACAGGTAGCTACACTTTATGATTGCGCTGTTGGTAGGCTGCCACTATACATGTAAATAGCCACTGTAAATAATAACAAAACGATTATCAAGCGTCCTATTACTGTTTTAAAAAAGGAGTCTTACGATTGTCATTGTTACCTGATTAACCCTAGCCGCCCTGAATCCTTCAAAATCCTCTTTACCAAAATGGAGGAATTTGGAGGATTGAGGTTACAACATGTACATGGTAAAAGTGCGTTTCTGATTTCGTAAGATGCACTTTGTCTTGGGCCGGACCTTGTGTTCTTTTTGCTCAGCCATGTATAAATATAGGCCTGGATTATGCTTGAAATCCTGATCCTCAAATCCTGATCCTCCGTACTGCTCCAGGATGTCACTGGCCAAGCCTCAACATATTGACAGTCACTGCCGCAGGATTTTAAAGGATTCAGGCAGTGGTCACCCCTCTACGGACCATACATGTATCAAGAAATAACGGAGGAATTTGCAGGATTGAGGCTAAATGCTATTTTTCCATGCGGCCAACTGGAGGATTTTGCAGGATTGAGGCTACATCCTAGCAAAAAGGCCTAGGGAGTTAGGGTTAATATGTTCAATCACAATCTTTGTAAAGAAAGTTCTTCACTTTTGAAAGGAATTGTTCAGCACTGTCTTTCTTTCAGAAAAATGTGAACACAAAGCCAAATCACTAAATCGATAATTATCTAAATGTTCATTACAAATGATTTCAAAAACGAACATCAACTACAAAATAACTTTAAAAGTGGCTTTCAACCATTTCCTGCACTCTAAATGTACTCATATTACTTTTCGATCACCGTGTTGTCAATCAATTGGATGTAACAATTAAGACGCAGTGATAACAATGTCATGAAAATTCCACCTGTACTTGTTCATATTAAGGCTGCCCATTTTTCGAAAATAATTTTAGTATTTAATTATTTGAAACTGCATTTGACCGTATATTCGAGTATTCCAAACTCGCCAATAAAGTTTACATGCGCCAGCTGCAACTGCATGCCGCGCCCATCAGAAGTTGCACGCAACACACGCCAGTTAAAATTTGCGAACAGCGATCGATGTTATGGGCCGCTGTAGTGTTTGAAGTGTTGCAGTAGGCCTATTTCATAATTGTCAAGGGCTTTAACCTGCTAAAAGGAGAACAATGAACTGCCATCGACCCAAAATGTTACCGTCGACAATAATGGCATCTGGCAATAAAGCGCTGCAATTTTACAATTAAAATAACATAACAGTTGTGCACATGCATTTTCTTCTTTTGAACGTGCCGAATATTCAACCAGTAAAAAGCTATTTGAATATTCAAACCAGTAAAAAGCTATTTGAATATTCAGTTTATTGAGGACAGCCCCAGATCATACTAAACAGCTGTGGAAACAATTCAAACCCATACAATAAAAAAGTACTGGAAATGTGGCTCAAACTTTTTCAAGAAAGAATTACTACTCAATACGTATTTCACAGCACAGCATGCTTTAGTACTGCTCCTTGCCAAACGCGGGTAATTTTTACTGTAACTCTTTAATCTAAAACTTCCATAAAAGGCAAGCAACTCTTTGGTTTAAGCTTTTTACTATGAACTTTTTAAAATTTGGAATACGCTTCTCTACAAAAATCTCAAACTTTGTAGTTTTCCCACGTAAAATTAAATCACTTCTTTAGGATTAAAACCCATTCATTTTATTTTTTTTGCAAATGTATCAACGGCCAAGCAGTTAAACGGAACAAGCTAAAAATGAAATTCAAAATGACTCATATATCCTCGATCATTTAAGCCAGGAAAATCCCCCCCCCTCCCCAGTTCCACAAAAAATCCATCTTTGCAGCAAAACACATTTTTTTTTATAACACCTCATTAAAAAAATAAATAAACAATAAAAGGGACATCAAGACCAATGTGAAAAAGTGGCTGGATTGCACAATCCTGAAACCATTAAAATCCTACAAAATCCTACAAGATCAGTTGTTGGTTAATGGCCTATTCAGTGGTGATGGTGACATAGAGTTATGCACTGTCTAATAAACTAAAACACAAATGTGATACACTTAGGCCAAAAAAAAAATATGTCTCTGGTTTCTGTTATGGAGCTTGCCCAAAAAGTGGTGCGGCGACGCGTTTTTTTTTTACCTGACTTTTTTGCTTTAAATGTCGGCTGATGACTGCAAATGGTGCCCGACTAAACTTAGTGCAAATATATGGGAGTCCGGAGAGGCCACATAAAGCTTATTCTCGATCATAACCCCATCTAAAAACACGTTAAAATTGTGCAGCAGCAGGATTCCAGTCAAACCAGTGAGTTTGGCTGTTTTAAGACATCATCTTTTATTGAAAAAAAATTTTTTTTTCATTGTGCCGATGCGCATGGCTACGGCGACGCGAGCGCATACCAGAAACCGGAGACTTTTTTTTTTGGCCTTACGCAAGTATGTTTGACTGGAAAGTTAACAACGTGGGTTTTAAGTTGACGATTCTTTCTAAGAGCGTTTCAATGAGCAAAATGATCTTGAAAATGAAAGTTGAAGCTACCTTTCACAACAGGCGAGATGTATAACATATTCAAACAAATAAAAAAATGCAGAACTACTGCTGCTTAATTAAGCCTATCTTACATGAATTCTCCTTTTGAAAACAATAAAACTGGCATCGCATGATCTACCGTTACCACAGCAACTGTCAGAAACTTCAAAATCTAACCCAGGTCACCATGGCTCACTGGTAGTACGTCTTCTCGCTGTAGTAGATCTCCTGTTTGTCGGGAGCAAAGAGGAGCAAGATACCGGCCACTACTTGCAGGAGGAAGGCCCCCCAGCCCAGGCCGTACCCCCAGGCCAGCTCCCAGTTGCTGCGGAGAAGGAACACGTCTTCTTGGATGGACATGGCCGGGAAGAGGGCAAGAGTCACCAGCATGAAGACGGCTAAAGAATAAGGAGATGAAGACTGAATACTAGTTACATTTTCTCTGGTTTAACAACACTTCAGGCATGTATGTTAATTTTTTTTTAAACATAAGTGGGTGAAGGGTAATGGCCTTCCATTCAAATGGACAATGAATGGAGTATTGGAATTTACAGAATTCTATTTTCAAATCCATATCCAGCTTTATAAACAAATACTTCAAAACGAAAGAGCTAATAACCTTCTTTTTTTTTTTTTAAATGTTTAACATTCTACATTTTTCACTTCCATGCATGATAAAAAATATCTGATCATAAAATATATTTTATCAGTGTTTGTTTTAATTTCATATACATACAGATGTAGTTCTCAAGCATAATTACTTGGATTGAGTTGGACAGATTTAGCAATGTGTTGGTTGAAATCAGTGTTTCCCCTGCCCATTCAAACGTGAGGCGGCCCACCTCGCTACTTTCAGTGACCACCTCGCTCAATTTTTGCCAATATCACCACCTCGCTGTGAAGATTTACAATAAAGGAAATATCGATTGAAAAAAGTTCATTTTGTGTAATATATGAGCGTTTTCCTTTACCTCCATGTATCAAGAACTCACAGTTTCGATGTGTTTTTGGAATCATCGCGCATTTCTGTGAGTGCTGCATTCTTTTCAGTTTGCAGACTGCATACATTTTGTTTCAATCATCTTGTTACCACCTCGCTCAGTTCATTAGCCAGGGGAAACACTGGTTGAAATGAAGTATATGTACAGAGTACATGTATATGGCACACACATAATTACATCACTGCAAGTCATTACAACAAATGTGAATATTTGCAATAGGTCTGTAGTTTCTTGTAAGTCAATGTAATTTTTGTAAAAGACTTTTTCAGCTCCGATTTGGTAACGTAACCCGTTTGGAATGTGACCTGGTGCAAGACACATGAGCATGCACATCGGTTTCCTGACCACACCTTGGAATAATGGGGATAACGAAGGGCCAACGTGTAATATACGTTGGTGTTGAATTTTATATTTGTCAACTTGAATGCAGTTCTTTTGACTTTTTAAAAGATTTTATACAAAAATTGATTTGCCTGTGCATACAAATAAAACTTCAACTTGTGCAAATGTTCTTCAAAGCCAATCTGAATAAATATTGAAAAATATCACAAGAAAGGATGCACGTTCTAGCTTGAGAGTGTTACCATTCACCCTAACCACACAAGATCCTTCAAATCCACAAGTTCAGCCAGGCGACAATTACGTTACACGAAACTTGTTTTCATTGTTTGTCAAATTCCACACCCTATCTCCAAATCAACTTTCACTCTAGATTTTTGAGCTTCAAGAGGACTTTTTTTCTCTCTAAATTTGGTCACATATCAGCCATTCTGCTACCTCTTCTTTACATTAGGCCAAAAAAAAAAATATGTTTCTGCTTCCGATTTCTTTGTTTTTGTGTACGATCATAAGGAGGTGTCTACGTGTAGTCAAGGGTAAAAGGTAGTAATCGATGGTTTTCAGGTTTTTTCCCTCATTTTTCCCAAAACAAAAATTAGGGTAGGGGCTGTCAGAATAGGGTAGGTAGGGTAACAGGAAGCAGAACTGTTTTTTTTTTGGCCTTACTTTAATGAGATCTTTGTAAATTTTCAACAACCGCTTGAGCACGCAAAACTTGATCAGCACATTTCAAATATTTGAATATTCGATCGAGTCCCAATGAGAATAATCGAATACTAAATTATTCGGAACGCACAGCCCTTACTCTGTAACCCATGCCTCAAATGAGTGCAAGTGTTTCACTTAATCATCAACAATGCAGGAGGATCACATTTTTGTCTTACCTGAGACAAAGAGGAGGACGCCGGCAATCTTGTACATGTTGGCAAAGCGTTTGCCTTTGATGAGGGCAACGAGCGCAAAGACCAGGGAGAAGATAGTCAGAAGCAATGCCACGATGGACAGGGCCTTACATGCTATCAACCAGCCTGCAATGGGAGGAATAAGTCAATAAATTAATACATTGTGAGTTGATGGTAACCCTAGTCCTGCTGAATCCAACAGGATCCAACTATATCATATATCTGATTGAACCTGTTGGATTGAGCAGTAAACCCCTTGTGTACATTCCTGATGCAAAATGTTGGATTCAGCAGGCAACTGAACCGCATTATGGAGAACCGAAGTGTGACGTCATTTAGAACCAGAAAGAGTAGTGCAAACGAATGGAGTACGCGCGCGTGTTGGTTCACGGGCTGAATCACGCGCTAATGTCTTTTACACACATTTTGTGCGCGTGACGTATTCACTTCAGTACTCCATAACGCCAAGTTGGACTCCGTTGGAATGTTTGCAACCTGACGCTGCTTTTTTCTTCATATCTCATCTCAATGAAGGTCAGTCATTGCAAAAAATTATAAGACATGAATCTTGGACTGAGAAACATTTCCAATTTTGTTAGGAAATACTTCAAAATTTTTTTTTTGACTCCCCATAAACTTTGTACACAACCGCTGAAGTAGCGTCAGGTTGCAACATTCTTTCCCAACGGACAAATGAAAATAAGGCACAGTGGATTGAGCAGGAAACTCCGGTTGGACTCAGCTGGATTTAGCAGGGTAGTCCTGAGGAACTACTAGGAGGTTAAACATACTTTGGTTTTCCCGTTGACAAATAATCTGGCTAAGATTGAAACATTAGGCCGTCCAATTTTGTTTAAAGGTAGCGTAGATCACTTGTTATTTGTTTATTTTGTTGATTTGAAGCAACAAAAGTGCTCAAAATCTGAGAAAACGATAGGCCTATTCTAGGATCCCAGTTTCAATTCAAAAGTTGCCGAGTCATGTTTTGAAATATTACGCTCGTAATTAGCATCCCCAACATGTTCTCATTCAGCTGATTGCAGCTACGCGATGTCGCGCACTGAACTGACAAATAATAGCAACCGCATGCGCGTGCATTGTGTCAACGCTTGCACGCACCTGTTCACGGATTTGTCGAATTACAAACCAACTACTAACGGAGATTTCCAAAAATGCATCACTTGACGCATCTTTGGAAATTGGCTTCTTTCATTGATTTCTTTCAATTATGACAGCATACCAGAAGGAATAATTTCACAGGAAGTTAAGTACCGTTACTATCTTTAAACCAAGTAAGTTTTCAACAATAATTTTGTGTAGTCACTTTCGGATAGCTGCAAATGAGTACTCTAACAAGAGCAAAAACAATGGGTACATGTACATCAAACCTTGTTTCCGGGGTGCTAGCTTACTATATTTGCTCGTTTGTTATCAAGGTGCCAGACTATACCGCAAATATTGTTCAAGACATGCTCACAGTCACACGCAAATGCTCTAGTACCAGGGCCAGAGAGAAGCTAGTGGAAGCGTATCGCTCACTGTACATGTTTAATATCGGCTCTTCTTATGCCAGGGCGTTGTCAAAGCCTGCTCTTCTTAAGAAAGGGATTTTCTTTCTCAAAGAATCCCAGTGGGCACTCAGGATATTTTGAGATGTTTTCAACAGGCAGATGATTACTGCTGTCCGCCTCAAAATTTTACAAGCAATTTCTCTTAAGGCTTTATGTATTAAACAGATTGTGGATGGGGAAGGGGGGGGGGGGAAGGGGGGGGGGGAAGGGTGGGGAGGGGGGGGGAGGGGAGACACCACAGCAGAATTGACACTTGCCAGTTGCTGGTGCAGCGTGGCACACAATATCTGTTGGTGGCTGTGCCGATGGCAATCCAGAGGGAAGCGTTGGAACAATCCGGGTTCCGTTGTAGCATTCATTCCACAATCCTTGGTAGAAACCAGCTGCCCTGATCCATGTCTTTTGGGGAAAACGAATGGGTAAAAAATGATGAATTATTCCAAATTCAATCATTATGATTGTTTACTTGTTTGTTATTATTAGTAACTTGCCACATGTAGGTCGTTGCAGACATTCGGAGAGTTTTTGCATCAAGTGGCTGATCTGGTTCCCAGACCTATGCTCATGAAACTCAATGGTCCTTGAGTCTGGAGTGCTGAATGGTAACACATAGCAATCGATGTAGGAAAGAATGTTGCAACCTGATGCTACTTCAGCGGTTGTGTAAAAAGTCTATGGAGAGTCTGGAAAATTGTGTAAGTATTTCGTAACAAAATTGGAAATGTTTGTCAGTCCCGGATTCACGTCTTATCATCATTTTTGCAATAACTGACCTTCATTGAGTATACTCTCCGAGGAGCAAGGTAAGCAAGAAAAGATGTCTTTTTTTTGTTTTGAATTTTTTTTCCAATCGTCAACTTAATGTATAATGGTTCTCGAACTATTCCTGCGGTTTCGGCATGTTAGGCCTACCAGTATACATGTTATTGTTACAGTTCAAATGGTGATGGTGAGGTGAGTTCAACAAACAGTCTTATAAATCAGTCATGTCAGTGACATCATGACATTAGAAGTAGAACAGATAGAAAGTGGTCCTACATGTCCTAAAACATATAAAACACATAAAATATGCCAATAAAACTAATGCCATAAACTTTCTTAAAAGTAACTTTTAAATTTCTTCGAAATCAATGTCATCGGACAAAGAGAAACATGTGTCATTAAAAAGCCCCTATTTTAATATTATTAAAAATGATATACTTACATTGTTGGCCAAAACCGCAATCATGACCACCCCGCAAAGCACAATCAGAATGACCGCAATGATTTTGAACGGGCGCACCACCCGTGTGGTGGTGGTGACTGTCGAATCGTCCATATCCATGCCGGTTTGGGCCTAGAATTCGCTACTTCAGGGTTTAAACTCGGTGGGGAAAAACGACCAATTCTATCTGAGGAATACACACATGCCTCTCTGGGAGGAAAGTACAGTTGTCACTCGTTGGTTGAGGTGAGTTTTGGAGAATCAAAGTTCACTTATTTACCACAAATTTGTACGACATGCCATTCCAGTGATTGATAAATCAAACAATATTATTTTGATAGCGTCGCTGGTTCTCAAGCTTGTTGCGGATTTTAGTTTTCAGCAGCAGGGTACCCGTCAGTGACTTGGGAGTGGTGATATTCTAGAGGGCGGTATATCAGTTTTACGGTCTTCAGATTCAGTTTCACTGCTTTCGGATTTTCCCCGTTTCTAGTTTGGGACTCTTTTCACTCACTGTCAAAATGTGTATCAATTTATTTGTTTTAAGATGTATTAATGTAAATGTAGAATGTTTTGAACTTTATAATGCACGTACATTTAAACATACTTGTGGAATCTACGCATTTTAATGGATTATTAGAATTATTTCACAGTCGCAAGGACTCGGTTCGCGTGTAGGCAGATTTCTGCGCATTAGGAACACGTTTTCGTAAAGGTTCAAGTTGGTCCGGTTAACTTTATTTAATATTCCTTTTTTGATGAGGCTTGCGGTTTTGCCGAAGTCAGTTGAGCATGATAGGCCGACTGTTAAGGTTTGTGCATGGGGTTTTGAATAGAATGATTGAAGAACCATTTTTACGGCAATGTGCTAGTAAAATGTAGACTGTGGCTTCACTTTGGCACCGTCCTAACTAAAATTTATTTTTAACATCATTTGTTTTTCTTAATAATACTTCATATGCTTGTTGTACTAGTAATGACCAATCACTAGGCGAAATTTCAGTCCAGTACAACAGGTATTTAATAAGCTATTGTTCCATGAGGCAAATTTGCTTCGTTTTGGCAGGTTTTCTCAGTCATTACTAACATTACCATTTCTGCATCAAACTGCAGAGGGCGCCCGTCAACTTTTAAAGCAGTATCAACTGAAGCTCCATTGAAACTGACTTTTAAAATCAACAAAATTCGCAGCCGAAATGTTAAACATACAAGCCACGATGCATCACTGGGGTTTCTTAAACAAAATCAAAAATCTGTCTTGTCCTTCATCTTCTTCCATTTCTTTTTTGGCCAGCCAAAACAGTCAGAGCAAAACAAACTCAACCCCCCCCCCGCCCCCCCCCCCCCAAAAAAAGCGACCAAAAACAAGGTAGGCCAACATCCCATATTTCCGTTTTGGGCACAAAAGCAAAACAAAACCCATATTCCGTTTTCGTTTTGGACGGCAAAAACGGATGGGAAATCGAAGCCCATAATATCCCATTCCCATTTTGAGCAATGAAACCAGTATATCCCATTTTGGACATCAATGAAACCCAGTTTCCCATTCCCATTTTGGACATCAATGAAACACATATCCCATTCCCATTTTGGACATCAATGAAACCCAGTATCCCATTCCCATTTTGGACATCAATGAAACCCAGTATCCCATTCCCATTTTGGACATCAATGAAACCCATATTCCATTCCAATTTTGGACAGCAATGAAACCCATACCCCATTCCCATTTGAACAGCAATGAAACCCATACCCCATCCACATTTTGCACATCAATGAAACACATATTCCATTCCCATTTTGGACATCAATGAAACCCAGTATCCCATTCCCATTTTGGACATCAATGAAACCCAGTATCCCATTCCCATTTTGGACATCAATGAAACACATATCCCATTCCCATTTTGTACATCAATGAAACCCATACCCCATTCCCATTTTGTACATCAATGAAACACATATTCCATTCCCATTTTGGACATCAATGAAACCCAGTATCCCATTCCCATTTTGGACATCAATGAAACACATATCCCATTCCCATTTTGTACATCAATGAAACCCAGTATCCCATTCCCATTTTGGACATCAATGAAACACATATTCCATTCCCATTTTGGACATCAATGAAACCCAGTATCCCATTCCCATTTTGGACATCAATGAAACCCAGTTTCCCATTCCCATTTTGTACATCAATGAAACACATATCCCATTCCCATTTTGGACATCAATGAAACCCAGTATCCCATTCCCATTTTGGACATCAATGAAACCCAGTATCCCATTCCCATTTTGGACATCAATGAAACACATATCCCATTCCCATTTTGGACAGCAATGAAACCCATACCCCATTCCCATTTTGGACAGCAATGAAACCCATACCCCATTCCCATTTGAACAGCAATGAAACCCATACCCCATCCACATTTTGTACATCAATGAAACACATATCCCATTCCCATTTTGAGCAATGAAACCCGTAGGGGTCTACCCTATTTTGGACATCAATGAAACCCACATTCCATTCCAATTTTGGACAGCAATGAAACCCAGTATCCCATTCTCATTTTGGACAGCAATGAAACCCATATCCCATTCTCATTTTGGACATCAATGAAACCCATTATACAATTCCCATTTTGGGCAGCAATGAAACCCATATCCCATTCTCATTTTGGACAGCAATGAAACACATTTCCCATTTTGGACAGCAATGCAATGAAACCCACATCCATTTTGGACAGCAATGAAACCCATATCCCATTTCCCAACCGTCAATGGATAATGGTGTCATTTTTTTAATTGGTTGTTCCCAGCATAAAGCTTAAATTGTATCTTTTGCAATGTTCGTCTGTGCGACCGCTAGATGGCGCCCCTCATCGAATGTATCATCTGAAGAAGTCATCACTGCCTGCCTGAATCAACCCTGAAAAGAAAGGAAAACATTGATTCTGTGTCATACATTGTGAAAACATATTGTATTACATGTACCATATTATAACTCATTTTCAAAGTAAACGTGGAATAATGAAGCAGTAACAGTGTTGATATTAGGCCTAATGACGATAAATTCTTCCCATTTTATGTAGGCCTATCTCAATGGGTTTTTTGTTTTCGTTGGTAATAACTTCATCACCAGTCTGCCCTATGGTCTGTCATGATGTTGACCTCAGTCGCGAAATACATCAGTGTGCAGCATGTAACTGTCTCATCGTGTGCGCTGATCAGAGGATCGTGATCTTGACCTTGATCTTCATCATGACATCAGTCGACGTCACTGTCACGTCATGCAACGTCATTCACATTAGATGATGTTTATATCAATCAATATATGATGTACATATATGAATGAAACACATGTATATAAACACATGCATACCTAATGTAATTACATTGTGATTGTGTTCTTACGTCATGAGATTTAGTTTCAGTTTGTTGCTTGTAGGCTTGTGTAAGTCTACAAGTTCATGATTATTGATCTTGTGGGATTCTCATCTTAGATCGCATTCAGGATACTCAGATCTCTGACCCTTGACCTTAGATTTTAGATATCCCTGATCTAATCATGGCTCCTATTCATATCTCAGTCGTCGTCATTGTCTTGAGGAATAATTTATTATTATACTGCTCTTCCGAGATAACTGCCTCACATTGGCATGGGTCTTTGTCACATCTCCATGCAGTCCACCATAGCCTGAGACTAATTTCAATAATTTCTTAGAAAAATGTGCATCTTTAATTTTAGTGACTCTTTGAAAATTCTTGACGAATGGTACTTTTTTTAAACTCACTTTGCAACCTCCCCCTTTACAGTGTCCCATGACTTGTAAAATTTCAAGGTTTCTCTTTTCCAGTAGGCCTAAGCCTACATGTAAAATCCCCTTTGGTCTCGGTACGTTACCGAACTGATGATAAACATGATAAAGTATCAGGAGCTTAAGAATTAGGCTTACCTTTTCCCTCATATTAAATATCCATATCTGTATCATGGTTGTTTACAAATTATGTAGCCCTCCTCGCTATAATAAACTTATCTTAAAATTTGCCTATTGCGCGAAAATTAGTGGAGGTTGAATTCTTAACATTAGAACATGATAGGCCAAGCGACAGTCCGGTAAAGAAATTATGCTAGGCCCTAGCCCAGGTGGACTCCCTTTCCTCCCTACGTAATGCAATGAAGACGTCGTACCCTACTGAGTGTTTCGCATCATAACTAGGCCTGGCTAGTTCGTAGTCGTACGCTTCATTTCAGTTCATAATTTTCACCGCGAATGTTGCCGTGAATTACGGAGCAAAACGAACACGGCGAAAGCTTAAAGATTCTTCTGAGTTGCCTAGAACTATCTCACATCGTCACTGTTCTAATGGATATCAATTTTTGGTATATTCTATCGCAAAAAACCCAAGTAATTTTAAAACAAAAATACTCACGAGGTGCAAATGTACGGCATCCATCTTGAAATGCAAGCAGAGCGGGCGAAAGTCAGACGACAGGTTTTAAGGCGTAATGCGGTTGAAACCTGATCACCTTTTATCTCTCCGCACAAAAAAAAAATTACCCATTTTTCTATTAACTTTTTTCCCCTGTGTGTCATCATTACTAGTTTTTGTTTATTACAACGATAAAATTCATGCTGTTGAAATGGAAACTATGATAAAGTATTTTTGATCAGAAAATGGGGTGCTATTTTTCTTCATCCGCGGACTTACACGTACTAGCCGTCGATGTTTGTTGAAAAGGTGTAAGATCGGTTCTGATTGGTCGAAAGTCAACAGAAAATGTCTGGACTTGGCTGCGATTGGCCAAGATACACAATTTGCATATGGTACGTCGAGTGCCCATTATATGGACATTAGATGACAATAGCTATTTGCATATTTCTTGGGGGGGGGGGACAAAGTCAGAGGTCAATGCTTTGTATTGTACGCCTACCGGTCGCACAACGGCAGTTTCATGACTGTTTTCTAAATTATAGAAATGGAATTTAACAATTACCAATGCGTGCAATTCGTGCTGATAAATTTTACTTCCGGGAGTAACCCTTGCAACCGATATCTCAACAGCCAAACAGGGGCCATACAAAAGGTTTTGTCTTTGTTACAGGTAAAAAAAAATAAAAAAAAATTGCCTGCTCCAAATTAGTTTTTAGTTTCTTTTACACGGTTCTTAAATAATCAGTCATGCAATTACAAATACGTTTTCTTTGAAGATATATTTGCGAATGTTTTCTTTACCCATACCATATCAAAATACATGTATCAAAGCCAAATGTTTTGTTTTGATTTATTATCAGAGCTCTTAGAGATGCTTAAATGTGAATGCCATTATTCAGCTTGGATCAAGTCATATTAATATTATTTATTTTTGGTTTTTGCTTTCATATCTTATTGTCTTTTGATTTGTTTGAATGCGTAATGTTTCTGTTTTAATTGATTGTTATCCCCGCGCCCGCGATCTTTGGCTACGTGTTTCTAGTATGGTACCACATACTGTAGTCTGTGAAATCGCGTTAGAATTGCTGACGGAGGGAGATGGGTACCAACCAGAGTGGAAAATTCTGACTCTTTCATGATTTTGTGCTCAGTTGACTGGGTGTACCATGGAGGAATTTCCTTTGATTTTCTACGATTTGGAGCTAATTTGAAGTATTTTCTTGAACAAGTTTACCAAGGAAGAAGAGATCAGTGTGAGAACTGTAAGTTCTGGACGAATCAGTCAAAAATAAGAATTCGGTTTTAACTTTTATTTTCATTTCAGATCATTTTGCCTTTTTTTGGCAAAATGATTGAACCATTTTTGGGCGACCGGCGATCGTGTAGTGTAGGGCCCGGTTCCTGTAAGGGAACAAAATCCACTTTAAAATGATTGGACATGGGCGACATTCTCAATAAACAGGTGTGTCATAGCATGGAGGATTCCTCCATGGTCATAGATAGAGGGTTTTGATTTTTGAGGGAATTTTTTGGGGGGGGGGGGGGGGACATGTCCCCCCCCCCCACTTTTTGGGGGGTGGGGGACACAATATCAAAATGTCCCCCCCCCCCCAAAATTTTTGAACTCGTTCCTCATTTACAGGGCCCTATTAGGCGAAGTAAAAAAAAAAACATGTTTAGCGTCCCCACCCGCTTCCTTTTTAGAGGCCGCCTCTTTTTTTTTTTTTTTTTTTTAAAAAGACAAAAATTGATAAATTTTAACGATCTCTGACGAAAGAAATCGTATTTTTAGACTTTTATACCGTGTATAAAGCTGTGGAAATAGTCAATGAGTCCAAGTGGCGGCCATTTTGAAAAAAGCTGGTAATTGCCTCCTGAAGATAGCACCACAGATCATTTAGAATCCAACATTTTTCAGGGCTCTTAAGCGGGCCCCAAACCCCATGCCTGTAGCTCAGAATTCTGGTACTAAGTGGTAGCTGATTCAATGACTCCAACCTCGAAAACGATGTTCAAATAAGTATCTTATGCCTTTAACTGAGAAAATTATGTTTATAAAGTATTATCTTTTGCTAAGATAATTATTGGTTAAAGTGGTAAGAAATTGCCTCGGATCACACCACAGAGCATCGAGAATCCAATTTTTTCGGGGCCCTCTTAAGCGCCCCGAACCTCACACCTATAACTCAGGATACCGATAGCTGATTCAATGACTCCAACTTTGAAAACGATGTTCAAATAATTATCTTTTTCTAAGAAAATATTAGTTAAAGCATGGAGGAAAGTGGTAAGAAATTGCTTCAGATCAAACCACAGAGCATCTAGAATCCAATTTTTTTCGAACCCCACGCCGTAAGGACTTCGCGCTTCGTGCTCGAATCACTTCTGATCAAGGTATTTTCCCCCCCCCCCCACTTTTGGGAAGCAATTGACGCCCATGTGCTACATTATGTGTAGTTGGGGCATTTACAGTGATGATGCGTATACTTTGTCCGTATAAAGCTCCAGTTAAGCAGCCATGGAAAAGCAACATAAAGCTGCACTACGCACAAACCGCGTAGCTCTGGTACAAGACATGGACCTGGTTTATGTGTTCGATGGACTCGTTGAGAGGAACATCTTCGAACCTGCTGACTACGAAGACTTTAAGGTATGTAGGCATTGAGTTAAGTTTCCAATAATAACACCACTCAAAATATAAAGCGGAGTTGGTGTCCAAAGACTATGGTGCATTTCGGCCTCAAGATTATGGTGCATTTTGGCTTCAAGATTTTTGACCTAATGGATCTTGTTGACAAGACTTGCATGTTTTTGCTTTTACAAAAGTGTAATAGGGTTTCTAGCCAAATTTCCCTTGTGGGTTTCAAGTCCATGCCCTGAATTTAAAATCTTACCATCTTGTTACTTTTAAATATATTCCTCTCTGGAAAAAAAAAGTTATGGACAATGAAATTGAAGGTGACTGTTTGATTTAGGCGGATGGGAAAGCGAGCCGCAAGATCAACCAGAGATTCCTGAATGCCTTGGAGAGACGCGGTCCCAAGGCCTTCCGGGCCTTTGTGGATTCCCTGAGGGAGCACAACCATGGGGCACTGGCCAACAAGCTGCAACAAGCCTTGGCAACACAGAATCCAGAACAGATGGAGTCCAGGCCGGGGAGGGTCGAGGACAGCCCGACAGGCGCCATCTCGGGACCCCAGGGGGATTCCCAGCTGGAGATTGATGCTGAACCTACTACATTAGTCATGGCATCGCCAACAGGTAAACACTAACTCAAGACTTAACTGCCGGAAAATCCATTGCCTTAACCCTAGATTGTAACGAGTCACTGAATTGTGTGACTCGAGTTGAGTTGAGTCATTTTAAGGGAGTGATTCCAGTCGAGTCAAGTCAAGTCAATAAGCCAAGAAGGTCGAGCCAAGTCGAGTCGAGTCAAGTCGTGTCGAGTCCAATCGGGTCACAGTGTATGGTCGAGTCAAATTTATGCTCGAGTCATTTGAGATGCTGATAAATTACGGAATAAAACATGTAAATATATTACAAAGTGGAAGAAGGGATACAAGGCACCAATGTATTATAAAGACCCAAAGACTCAAAATATGCTGCATGGTACCCAACAGACAGCTTTCGGTGGTTGTTTCTTTCAAAGATCTACGTAACAGTTAACAAGAAGTGAAATTCGTTTTTTTCTCTGGTTTGGCTTCGCGTGTTGAATCATTTTTACGCTTACATGTACATCAAAACCAGCTTGCAGCATATGAAATTGTTTCTGATTATACAAATATATTTAATTGTTTTTGGGAAGCAGGACATGTATTTAGCCGAAGTTCCATCAATTAGGGCTTATGATAAGACAAGATAAGTTTGTGGTAGCACCATGTGAATAAATTTCTTTTCTGAGTATGTGTGGTTCTGAAAAGAACCGGAGGTACTCAACGTTTCGAACAGTATGCTCTGCTCGTCGTCAGGAGAATGAGGGATTCCAACAATGATGCGATGTTATAAGGATGGGTGCGGTGAGGCATGAGAAAGATACAAACTGGTGAAGCTCGAAACCGGTGATCACTGGAGCGTGTCAGTACACAGTGAGGGGGCAAAGGGGAAGGAGCTCAGGGTATAGGTGACCCATAGGCGAGAACTGAACTTAAATTGTCCTAGGTATAGGAGACCCATCGGACTTGGACTTGAGGATGGAGCAGAGGATGGGGCCTGACGACGGGCAGAGCTTACTGTTCGAAACGTTGAGTCCTTCCGGTTCTTTTCAGAGCCACACATACTCAGAAAAGAGATTTATTCACATGGTGCTACCGCAAACTTATCTTGTCTTAGTATCTTTCCACCATGCAAACCTTCAAATCTCATAGGGCTTATGATATCGCCAAAGCCAATGCTGAAACCATAGAGCAAGGAACAGCGAATTAGGAAATGCAGTTAAAATCTGGTTCTAGGATAGTAGTTTGTGGCATTTTTGCTGATAAAAAATTTAGGGTCGCGGCCTTAAAAGTAGGGTAGGTGGGGTAGCCGGAAGCAGTTTGTTTCCCACCAAGAAAAAGTAGGGGGGGGGGAAATGATCCTATGGTCCAGCCCCATTCCCCCTTTGTAAAAAAGTGGGGGGTGGGGGCAGAGGGGTGGGGAGTGTTTAGACACAGTCTGCTCGTAATGTGGCTCTTCTAATGAAGTGTTTTGGAGGAGAGAAAGGGTAAAGTCGGAATCCCTCTTGTCTTTCTTTGGACAGAGGAATCACAGGAAGTTCCCTGGCCAGGGAACAGTTCTGCAGATCTGACCCAAAAGAAGATGCGGATTTCACCCCCGCCTCCTGCTGTCCAAGATGCTTCTGATGTCGATGGCGTAAGTTTTATTTGTCTGTCTGTCTCTCTGTCTGTGTGTGTATTTAGGTCCATCCATTCCAGTAGCTCTCAGAGATGTTTTGAGCTGGCTTGTATTAGCCTAGGTTTGCAATGAGGGGTTGACCAGAAGGCGTACTTACTCCTGTGGTGTTGAAATTCACATCGTCGGAGACAAGATGGTTCGAAGTTATGTTTCCGTTGTCGAAGTCCCAGTTGTTGTGCTGCGCGATGGATTTCAGCAGATCATTTGAATCATCGGCTTTCTTGCGTTGGGAAGCTGTCTGGTTTTTGCGATTGATGATTGATGAAATCGTCACTGACTTTGGTTGCAGTGTTTCACTGAGTGAAGGGATCTTTGCAGGAATGGTTTCCGCATTGTCAGAAGTGTTGTTGGTTCCAACATGAAGAATTATGTCAGAAACATTGTGAAGTGGAAACATCACCCCAAGGAACGCATGACCTCAGTGGCGTATGACGTAACCACTTCTACAACGTATTGCTGCACACTTATGAGACACCGCAGCTTTGGCCATAACATTGTGGCAAGAAAAATGTAAGATTTTGAATGACTTTTTGAAAAACAAATATTGATATATTTTCAGGTCTATCAGATGAAGTCAAAACCGCGAGGAATAGCAATCATCATTAACAACAAAAACTTTGAGAAAATGCCGACAAGGAATGGGACTGACATTGATGGCAGGAACCTGAAGCACGTGTTTGAAGAGCTGGGCTTCATGACTGAGTATAGGAAAAACCAGACCAGGAAGGTAAGACATAGTCCCCCCCCCACAAATTTGTATGGATTAATCCAGCAACAACAAGCAGAAGTTATTAATTAGGTCATACCATTCTGCATGTAGGGTGTACAGGTACCACCCGATGTTTCTTTAAAACACAGACACTATTTTTATGAATATTTTTTTTTCTATTTTTGGTTTCAGCAAATGCAGCAGATTTTGAACCAAGCTGCGAGCCGCAACCATGAAAGATTTCACTGTTTCATCCTGGCCATCCTTAGCCATGGTGAAGAGGGCGCCATATACAGCACAGACGAGAGAATCGTCAAGATTGAGGACATCACGTCTTACTTTGAGGGAGGCCGGTGCCCGACGCTGGCAGGCAAACCAAAGCTCTTCTTCCTCCAAGCTTGTCGAGGGGGTGAGTGTGTTTTCTTTTCATTCTTTTCAAGTACAATTATTGAAATAAATACTTAATACAGTTTTTACCCATTCCTATTGGTTGGGAGCCCGTCACGTTGCCGGTCTTAAATGGATGATAAAGACATGGCTGGCTTGTCTCTTTTTCAGTGTCACATGAAATTTGGACTCCCATTTATCCGGTGCGTTTTAACGTTTCATTGGTTGAACGTTCACATTCTTCACGTATGCATGCGCAATGTACTACCAGTGAATCAGTATTTCATGGGCCGAAATTCACACTACACCAGCCCAGCTGCGTTTTGCGCGACATCGCGCAGTACGCACAAAATCTTAACGAAAACAAGTGCTGCTTTGGTTGACTTGCCAAAACAGCTAAACAAAATTCTTGGGTCATAGGCATCAATACAGTATCACCTAAACAAAACATTTTGTAAATACAGGCGATTCTCGTTAGTACACACTCTGTTAATACAAAATGCTGGTTATAACAAACATAAAGCCTTAGTCCCGACTGTGCATTTATGTGCACAATGAATGGGACTGGTGTTCCTCTTAATACAAAATTCTGATATAACAAACAATTTGGCTAGGTCCGAACGAGTTTGTATTAACGAGACTCGACTGTAAACACTCCATTTGGCCAAGTTAATGTTAAACGAGTGGTGTCATCTTATGGGACTTTGGGAAAAACCCACCAGCTTGAGAAAAAACCAATCTCCTTATAAGGTAATGAGTTGTGGAGGGACATTCCTTATTAAAGTCAGAGGGGTGTTTCAAAAAACATGAATTAAAATTGTTGAACAAAATGGTTGGCAACGTCTAGTTTTTGACTTGTTTTGATTTTTGGAGACCGAAGAGTTTTTTTTTTGGGACCGAAAAGGTATTTATGAATGGGAATAAATATGTGGTCGGTCGGTATTAAACACTCTGTTGAAGACCGGTGGGAGTCTGAATGGGTGAAAAATTACCCGAGGCGAATCCAGACTTCCACCGGTCTTTAATAAACAGAGTGTTATAATACCTCCCAAACACACATTTATTCCCTTAATAACAAAACTTTCCTGGGCTGGCGTTTGAAGATTTTTTTTCCCCAGTGACGGATATCTCAAAACATTGATCCAAATAATTAAAAAAACAAAACCAACACTTTTTCAGTCAATTCTAATATCTTATGTCTCATCTGTGAAAGTTTCAATCCAATACAAGCAGAATTTACAAAGTTACAGAGTAAGAAAGAGCAAAAACAAAATCACAAAATTTTGGGTTTACACGGGCGATACTGAGAAGAGCTCTGCATGGCTCGTGTTTGCCAAGAAGCCAAACAAAATCTTAACGAAAACAAGAGCTGCTTTGGTTGACTTGCCGAAACAGCTAAACAAAATTCTTGCGTAATAGGCATCAATACAATATCACCTAAACAAAACATTTTGTAAATAAACACTCCATTTGGCCCAGTTAAGTTCATGTTAAACGAGTGGTGTCATGTTATGGGACTTTGGGAAAAACCCACCAGCTTGAGAAAAAAATGGCCGCCTCCCAGTTGAAAAACTTGGCCAATGCTTACATGATCATAAATGAAGTAAGACTCACGAACATAAATGTATGTGATTAACAGAGAGCAAGGACAGAGGCCACGAAGCAACAGATTCCAAGGCGGTTGCCCCAGGCTACGCTTATGGCACTCAAGACTCGGTAGCACCGATATCCGATGAGGAGCTGGTCCAGCGGATGCTGGAACAACAATTGCAGGACGACACGGATGCCCCCACTGCCAACAGATCCAAACTGCCCAGCCACAGTGACATGCTGCTTGCATTCGCCACGGTGCCAGGTAGGTTTTGCATTGCTGACTGGTGTGCACATGGGTCATTCTATAAATTTAGGGTCCAAAGTGTGACATTTTACCCGTCCCTGTTACCTTGGTACTTTGTAATTTGCCATTCAAGCATCATTAAAAGTTACTTAAAATGATTGTTTATTTGATGGGTAGGTAGTTTGCTATTCATAATCACTCTTGGAGGATGACTGCATTAAGGAGTGCATCAGAATTATACAGTCATAGATGTCAGATATAACAGGGACGGGAAAAAAAGTGGACCCCAAATTTATAGAATGACCCACATGCCAATTAAGGTTCCCACAGTCACGGAAAATCCTTGTCCAGAGATGCATTGATTACTTTAGTGCATGCTTTCATAACCAGTCGCCTTGATGATTGCAACGGCCTATATTATGGCTTACCAAATCCACAATTAGTTAAGCTTCAACGGGTTCAGAATGCTGCAGCAAGGCTTGTTTGTGGCAAACCATCGTGGAACCATGTTACTCCTCTACTTTATCAGTTACATTGGTCGCCTATACAATCTCGTATACACTTTAAAATCCTTTTGTTGACCTTCAAGGCTCTTCATGATCTTGCTCCCAGATACATTATACATTATAGATATTTTGAAAGTTAAGGTCCATTCCAAGTATTCCCTGCGATCCACTGGACGGTTGCTTTAAGATTATCCATCTGGGAGAATGCAAAAGACTATGGGGGATCGTGCATTTGCACAAGCCGCTCCCAGCTTGTGTCAACTGGAAGGCTGAAAGGGAAGTCAGGGGCAGATCCAAGGGGGGGGGGGGCCCCCCTTTTCCAGAAGAGCCAGATATAGAGAGGGAGAGAGACTCAAAAAGAGAGGGGGAAAAAAAGAGGGAGAGACGCAATTCATAGGACAGTTCACATCAAACTGTAGCCCGTTAAGCCTTAGTAGTTGCACAAAGTTGAACAAAGTGACTGGACCAAGAACTGCGACGAGACAGCGCACGCGTGACGAGACGGAGGGCACGCGTGACGAGACGGAGGGCAGCGACGCGCGAAAGGAGACCAATGCTGTATATAGAATATGCTGTAGATTACAGGAAAAAGCACCCAGACTCCTCTATCTAGCAGGGCGGGCAAGCACGCCTTGAACATTTGGAAAAGGGCACTTACACATCCTTGGCGAAATGTAGACACGTTTTTCTCCGCACACTTGGCCTCTGTAAAATCAAAAAAGGGGGTGGGGGTCTGGTTCCCTCTGCCCATGGGGGCGCTGTTCAAAATCAACGATTGGGCACAATATATGGTGCTTTTAATGAGTCGCATTCAAAAAATGCACCTGTAACGGCTGATGAAAGCAAAAAGGGCACTATGACATTTTTACAGGGCACTTTTTTCGGGAAGAAAGGACACTTTTTTGGACAAAAAGGGCACTTGTTCAGGAAAAAAAGGGCACTCTTGACAAATAATGGGGGTAAGCGCTGGTGAGAAAGGGCATTTGAATGGAAAAGGGCAGTCTTTTTCAAAATATTGGGGGGGGGGGGTGTAAATAAGGGAATAAATGTGTGCTTCGGAGGTTTTTATCACTCTGTTTAAGACTTAATAAGACCACTTAGAGTCTGGGTGCTGATAATTACCCGAGCCGGAGGCGAGGGTAATTATCAGCACCCAGACTCTAAGTGGTCTTAAACAGAGTGATAAATACCGACGGAGCACATATTTATTCCCATTCATAAATACCTTTTCGGTAAAAAAAAATCATATAATTCGTTCAAACATCCCGATTTTGTTCAACAAATCCACTTTATGCTTTTTGAAACATCCCTCTTGCAAAATAATGGAGTGTTCAGCTGGCGAGTAAGATGTAAACAACCCTTTTATGGAGATTGACGCGCGCGTATCATGCTCTGCGCGATGTCGCGCAGAACGCACCTGGCGCGTTGCGTTTTGAATTTAGAACTACAAAATTCTGACTCCCTGGTAGTGTTGCGCATGCCTACGTGAGGATTGTGAACGTTCAACCAATGAAACGGTAAGAGGCACTGGATTTTTAGGAGTCCACATTTTATTGTGACACTGGAAAAGTGTTTAAGACCAGCTAGCCATGTCTTTATCATCCGTTTAAGACCGGCCACGTGAGGGGCTCTCGACCAATAGGAATGCGTAAACTGTCTTAGGTATTTATGAATACCTGTTTAAATACTTGTTCAAACTGCCATTGGACTTGTTTCCAACAGGCTTTGTGTCATGGCGTCACGGGAAGCGTGGTGCCTGGTTTGTGCAGGCGCTGTCGGAGGTCTTTCTGGAGCACGCACACGCAAAGGACCTGATGTCAATGATGATTATGGTGGGTTGTTTTGAATTTGAAATTGGAGGGCTGATCCCAATGTGACACATTCATATTGTTTATTAGAAGCGAAAAAAAGATGGTGAGGAGCAGAAATTTTTACCACTGAAAAGCTGTAGCATATCCAGGTGTTAGGGCCAGGGGATGGAGGGCACACAATGGGATAGTTTTCTGAATAGGTGGCAAAAAGTTTCTATTAATAAATACCTTGGAGAGTTGATGGTTTCTGATTGGTCGCGACTCGATCACTTGGGGGGGGGGGGGAGGGAATTTAAAGTGATATCGTCTCGGTCCATTAACAGCGGTCACCCCCAAACCCGGTCATGATTATCATGCAGTGAAGACCGGGTCCTCACACTGTTATTCCCTTATTAAAATATTTGCAAAAAATATGGTGGGGGTATTATTACCAGAAGCGGTTGGGTGCTAACACTTTCAGTTTCGGGTAAAAGAAAGAGGGAAAATGCAACTGGGGGTGCATTGGTGATCAAGGGCAAAACCCAATATTGACCCAATATTTTCTCCCTATGTCTCCAAAAACCACAGGTCAACGACAAGGTGGCCTGCGCTTTTGAGTCTTCCTCGGGACGCTATAAGCAGATCCCGGCCCCCGTGACGATGCTGCGAAAGAAACTCTACTTCAACCCTGGACGTTAGGAGAGAAAACTTAAAAGACACACATTTTATGTACCTTTCTTTTTTTTTTTTTTTTTTTAGAGTCGGCCATGATAAATTGAAAACGAGGTTTTCAATGCATTTTTGGAACTTGCGAATAAAAATGAAAGTACTGAAATAATAATAATAATAATACTCAGAAACTTATATAGTGCCTTCCATTTAAAAATCACAAAGCGCTGTATTAAAGATAAAATTAAAGTATACAAATGTATCAAGATAAAACCAAGTTATAAATATCAAAATGAGACCTCAGCGTTTTGACACAATTACGTATTATTAATCTTAACCTTCAGCAATTTTGAATTTACTGCCGCCATGTCCAGATGTTTTCCTGCAAAAATAAACACAGAAAAACTCAAACTTTAAAAAGTAAGAATGTACACACGTCAATCAACGAGTCAGTCAGAATTACTTGTACATGATGAACAACACTGGAGAGAGGTTTTATTTCCCCCTCACATAAGCAGCTGATAATTTTACTCGTTTAATTTTACTCTATTGGCAGTTTAACCATTTTCACAAATCATCTAATTTAAGTCTAATTTATTTTTGTACTTTTTGAAAATTTATTGAAATAAAAGAATGTATATGTGAAATAAATTATATAATTAGTAATAAAAGTAAAGCTTATGTTTTAGTGTCCCATTCTCCATTGGCTTTGGGATTTGTGTACATGTTAATATGATTCAGTTACAGCAGTTGTGACACTACCACTTCTTCCAGTGCAGTATAATCTTGTCGCATAAATTACATGAATGGATACATGGTGATGAAGGGATACTTTTATTAATATAATAATGTATCTGAAGTGGAAATTGTGTGGTTTAGGACCCTGTTCCATATATGAGAACAAAAAAGACATGATTATGTTTTGGGACTTTACCTAAATAGTTGCCGTCAGGAAAAAAAACCCTAAATATTTTTTAAGTTTGCTAAATTACCATGTTGAATATCAGCTGGCTTAATTTTGAAGAACGAGAGCAGGGTTTTTATTTATGAGGAAAATTATCGGGTAAAATGATATGACAGCGCCTGAACTGCTGTAACTTGCACGTCTGTAAGTGCTAAAACAGGTCAGAAAGTAGTAGTTTGGAAATTAAATAAAAAACCTAGAATTAATCTAAATAAAAACGACTGCTTGGGGCGGCAAAAGTCATTTTGGAAAATATGACAGTCATTTACAAAAGTCGCTTTTGAACGGGGAACATAGAAGTAAAAAAAGGGAGGTGTCCTAAGCTACTACACGATTACCAATGAAGTGATAATATATTTAACATTACAAAATAATAAACAAGTAAATTATAAACAACAATAAACAACAATAAACATCATCCGCACAAAAAAAACCAAAAAAAACTTTTGATTTATGTAAATGTGATACTCATACCAGCAGTTTTTCCACCGACACTGAAGTCAAACAGTCTTTCTTGGGCATCTTATTCCCGACTGCATCTGTATCACTCTCACTGCAGACAATAGTGTCCATGTATATTTTTGGCATAAGTTATATCAGGTATGGGTATAATTGAAATATTAAGGGTATAGTAAAAAATAAGTTCTCGAGATATGAGGAACTTGTCCTCCGTCTGGCAAGCAAAGAGCTATGGGCACGATGTTAACAGTCGCATCTCTACAAATATTGTGACGTCTAGAAAAAGGTTTTTTTTGGTATTCCAATGTTCCCCTAAAAAGCACCCTCCCCTGATGAAAGAAACAATTTCTGCACACAGTGCAATCTGTGTAAAAAAAAAAAAGGAAGAAGAGCAAACCCAAAACCTTAAAACAAAAAATACCTCAACTAAAAAGTATGCTTTGCTTTCGAAATAACTGTCCCACATATTTGAGCAACTAAAAAAAACCCGTCCCAGGCCTGTGCCCCCTCCCCCATGCGCGCGTCACGCGTCTGGGTAACCTGCCTTCACTATTAATATTAAAAGGTTACTGATTGGTTGGAATTTTGCTACCCATTTAGGGTAGTTAAAAGCGAGAAATAAAGAAAGAAGAAATCATAAGATATTCCGGACAATTAAGTTGGAAAAGGCCGCGAAAGGCTACCCTGATCCTTGCTGCCACTCTCCTTTGTTAACTGTTGGTTATTTCAACCAATGATTGGTTATGTCAACCAATCAGTTTTTAGACTTTTTTTTCAGTAGACTGTTCCCTTATCCCCTGATCTTAATGGACCGATCCAGTAAGCTCCGCCCACTGCGCACGTGGGCAAATTAACACGTGCTCCTCTCCAATGCCACGCTGCATTTTCTTCCGCGCGCATCATACGCACAAGCACGCATGTCGGACTTTTGTGCGCGCATGTCGGACATAAGTCACGGCTGTGATTGGTCAGAACACCATGGGGCGGTGCTTACTGGATCGGTCCATTCACCCACTCTCCAACCCTACATGTTTGTCTGTCCCGTACATGTTTGTTTCTTGTCCCTGTGCCATTTACCTCTGGAAAAGGCCTTGCTAAAGCTGAAATATCAGGCCACTTTTATTTTGTTAGTGAGAATTATTTCAGTTACATTTATTATGATTACTTTTACTATATTAGCATTTGGGAACACGGCAATTTTATAAAAAAAATCGCAAAATGTTCGGAGTTTGTGCGATTTTTTTTTTTTTTATCTCTAAGCAACTTGTATTAAATTGAAATTCTCTGAAGTGTGAACTTTATTGCATGAGGAGCTCGTGTTAGATATGAGATGGGAGAATGCCTGATGAACAACCGTAAGCGATATGAATTTTATTTTTGTTATTTTATTTTTTTTCCCCACTTTGTTTTCATTTTGACATTCTCTTTTGTTTACTGTTCTTGTCTGTGACTTTGATTTGTTTTGGTTTTCGTTCTTAGTTTTGTCTTTTGATTTTTTTGAATGTGTAATGTTTCTACTTTTATTTTAATCCCCCCCTCCTTTGCTACCCGCTTACCCCGCCTCCAATCGGAAAAAAAAATCACTGATAAAGCGAAACAGCGACCTCTAGCGCTGAAACGGAACTAGGGCGTAGGGATAGTATGGTACCACATGATGTAGTCTGTGATTTGGCGTTGAAATCGGTGAGGGAGCTGGGTACTCCTAGAACTATGAGGCTCCACGTAGTGGAGCCTCATAGGTTCAGAAGCCCGCAAAATTGTTGTCAGCACAAAACACTAATTAAGTACAAAAACGTCCATCCCAAGCAGGCCGTTTTCCACAGAACCGCTGCACAGTTTGCCCCTAAACTCCATACAATACCTCATGACATACTCACGTTATGTGCACCCAACAAACATCGGTGGATTCTGTCTGTTTTTCGGCAAAAATGATGAAAAATATGCCCTTTCTGCACTGAGCCAACCTAACACTTGAAACGAGCACGCGTGCAGAATGATCGCAGTTATTTTCGGTTCGATCGCTCGGAGCGCGCCGCGGGGGGTATGGTGTAGGAGCGGAACGATAGTATGCACATGCGTACAAGTGCAAGTACGTACCCCCCGCGGCGCGCTCCGAGCGATCGAACCGAAAATAACTGCGATCATTCTGCACGCGTGCTCGTTTCAAGTGTTAGGTTGGCACAGTGCAGAAAGGGCATATTTTTCATCATTTTTGCCGAAAAAAAGACAGAATCCACCGATGTTTGTTGGGTGCACATAACGTGAGTATGTCATGAGGTATTGTATGGAGTTTAGGGGCAAACTGTGCAGCGGTTCTGTGGAAAACGGCCTGCTTGGGATGGACGTTTTTGTACTTAATTAGTGTTTTGTGCTGACAACAATTTTGCGGGCTTCTGAACCTATGAGGCTCCACTACGTGGAGCCTCATAGTTCTAGGAGTAGGAGCTGGGTGGGTACCACTGTCACCGAAATGAGGCAAGTCAGTGGGGGAAATTCCAGGCATTTTGTGATCGACTGGGAGTTTTCTTCGATTTTGACTGAACTAAAGTAAAGTATTTTCTTAAACAACGCTACGAAGAAGGAAGAGATTAGTGTGAGAACTGTAAGTGCTAGACGAGTCAGTCAAACAAAAGAACACGGGTATAAACGTTCGGTTTATTTTCAGATTTAATTTTAGGCAAAACCATTTTTTTCCCTGGACCCTGCTGTTGCGATTTCGCGTCACGCGTCGTTTCATGACTTTCAGTTTTACTTACCACTGCCCTACGAGTAAAGCATGTACAGACTTGCCAAACTAAACTCTAGCAAAGAATGTAGTATCAGGACACCACTTCTTTGGTTGAGTCCAAAGTCTATGGAGAGTAGTGCACGATTTACAAAGTACTATTTTCTAGTAACAGTAACAAAATTGAATTTTGAAATGTTTCTCTAAATATGGAGGGTGGGGTGGGTTGGTGGGAGGGGTTGTCGGTTGTGGGCCCCCACTTTTTCCATGGGGGGAGGGGAGGAAAAATTCGGCTGTCCGATCACCACTTTTTTCAAATAATTTTCTAGTGCCAAAAGTTACCTCTTTTATAGCTGGAGTTACCCAGCCCTGGGTTTTATCATTGGGTTGTCTATTACGGCTGGAGCGAATTTTTCTCGTAACTTGTGGTATAGGCAAAATTTTTTGGAAAATGTTCAATTTTGTCCCCGTTACACACTAATTGCAACTGCAACTCACCCCAAACTTGCCTGGAATAACCATTACACAGGTCCTTGAAGTAAAAAACGATCCACGATGAAGATTCAGCCTACAATTGCAGTGAAAACAGGAGGAATAACCGCTAACTTGACAACCTTGCTGGATTGGCCAGGACTGCAATTGGTTTGTGCACAAAAAAAATTGTTTACAATGAATGGCGGTCGATTAACAGGCACAGAGAGCGATCGCTGTCAACTACTCGGTTTTGCCGGCTGCGCTGGCTGTTGGCGCATGACGTCACGCGGAAGCGTATGACCCGATGACTGTTTCATGCACTAATATAAGGTTTACCACTCGCATCACAGCTTTGGTACTGGAACCGCAACCAATAGTGCATGAAACAGTCATCGGGTGTTACGCTTCCGCGTGACGTCATGCGCCAACAGCCAGCGCAGCCGGCAAAACCGAGTAGTTGACAGCGATCGCTCTCTGTGCCTGTTAATCGACCGCCATTCATTGTACACAATTTTTTTTGTGCACAAACCAATTGCGGTCCTGGCCAATCCAGCAAGGTTGTCAAGTTAGCGGTTATTCCTCCTGTTTTCACTGCAATTGTAGGCTGAATCTTCATCGTGGATCGTTTTTTACTTCAAGGACCTGTGTAATGGTTATTCCAGGCAAGTTTGGGGTGAGTTGCAGTTGCAATTAGTGTGTAACGGGGACAAAATTGAACATTTTCCAAAAAATTTTGCCTATACTACAAGTTACGAGAAAAATTCGCTCCAGCCCTAATAGACAACCCAATGATAAAACTCAGGGCTGGGCAACTCCAGCTACCTCTTTTATGGTTATTCCCTCCACTTTCCCTCCTCTACTCTCACCCCCTCCTTTCCTTAATTTCTATTTATCAATCAGTCACTCACTTCATCGAGATTCGAACCTCGGACGCTTGCTTGATACACGAGTCTCTTAACCGCTGGGCCGCGCACGATCGCTGTTGCAATGATTAATCTTTGGACGTATTTGAAGTATCCATTGAAATAAACTAAATATTCATGAGAAAATAAATATTCATAATGACGTATTGCACTATCATTGGCCGGCTCATGCGACGTCTCATGCGACGTCATGGTTATCGATGTCATGCGTACAACGTACCGCTGTTCCAGACACTTCAATCAGTTTCGACCGGCTGCTTCAACTCAGATCTGCACTACATGTGCATGCAAAATGTGCTCCAAAAACACATTTTTACCAATTTTTTTTCGCATGTCCACTCTTTCCTGGATTCCTCTTGGTTGAAATCACAAGGTGAGGTGAAAATTTGGATGTTTGGCGGCAGGTAAGTGGTGATCGGTTGGCCAAATTTTCCCGGAGGGGAAATGGCCCCACCCTTGGTAAGTCAGTGTCCCACAAAGAGCGTACTGTTGAAAAAGGGCGCCATCTCTTGATGAATGAGGTTAACTTAAGAAATGAAACACATTCTTGGTTTATGGTTTATGGTTTATTTTTTTTTTCATATCATAGCACAAAAACATTATTAACGCGAATCTATATAAAGAATGACAAAAATTGATACGAGGGATCCAGGTAAAAAGCATATGCTTGTACAAATTTTCGGACTAGTATTCTTTGTCCGTACAGCACTCAAATTGAGCAGTCATGGAAGAGCATCAGAAAAAGGCACTACGCAAAAACCGCGTAGATCTGGTACAAGACATGGACCTGCAATATGTGTTCGATGGACTCGTTCAGAGGAACATCTTCGATCCTGCTGACTATGAAGACTTTGAGGTATGTAGGCATTGAGTTAAGTTTCCAATAATAATACCACTCAGAATCCAAAGCAGAATGCAAAAACAATGCAAAAATGCACCTTCGTATTTCTTGACGCAAAGCATGGGTTTGGCGTGGCAATGATGAGGTATTCTTCTTTTCTTGAAAATGGCGGCATACTGGGTGCGACGGCTCATTTGCTGTATTACACCGTTATTTACAGTCAAGTAGAATATTTCATAATCATTTGGCAGGTTTGTTTTTGAGTTTTTGCAAATGATCTTGGAAAGATTTCCATACCTGGACACCACTGGTCACCCTGTGCACAAACCCTATGAGGCTGGTCTGAAAGTGTTTTCTCAGTAGATGCTTCAACATTTTCACTGCTAAATTTGACCTTTTTAGGACATGTTATCACTTTCTGATGGCTGACAGGTCACTGCAGGGAAAAATTAGTGATGGCCAGGTATGGGAATCTTTCCATGATCCTACATTGTATGCTGCATGCACCATGGGAGCTTGCTGCATTGAGCCACCAACACCGGCGCATAAACAGCCATGCTGAGGCAGTGGGAGCTAGTCAAGTTGAACAATGCCATGGTTGAATCCTGCTTCGCTTGATGACCTCAGATTCTGTTGCATTGAGGCCTTCAGATTTTTGACCTGATGGATCTTGTCGACAAGAGTTGCATTCTTTTGCATTTAGTAGGATTCCTAGCCGCAGAGGATTCAGGCAAGGATCAAAATCAAGTCCGTACCCTGAATTTAAAATCCTGCCGTGTTGTTAGTTTTATACGTTTCACCTCTGGGGAAAAAAAATTATGGACAGTGAAATTGAAGTTAACTGTTTGAATTAGGTGGATGGGAAAGTGAGGCGCAAGATCAACCAGAGATTCCTGACTGCCTTGGAGAGGCGCGGTCCCAACGCCTTCCGGGCCTTTGTGGATTCCCTGAGGGCCCACAAACATGGGGTACTGGCCGACATGCTGGACCCAGCCTCGGCCCCACGGTATCCTGCTCAGATGGAGTCCAGGCCGGGGAGGGTCATGGACAACCCGACAGACTCCATCACGGGACCCCAGGGGGACTCCAAGCTTGAGCCCATGGACACTAGTCTGCCTTCTAAATCCTACATAGCTTCTCCTACAGGTAAAAGCTTGACCATAACTACTTGAAAACATATGACAGCAAAATGTCCAAACTTCTAGCAAATGTTGGTGCAGAAATAGCTGTAAAATTGAGGTTTCTGCCTGAAATGACATTGACATCACATTTTTGCTCAAGAATGTGCAAATTGGCATTGGCATAAAACCCCAAAAGGCACCTAAAAAGCCTTTAAAGGGAATGTACATCATTGGCTTCTGCTTTAGTTTTCAGAAATGAACTATTTGAGAGGTTAGTATAATAGATCAAATATTGTTACACTGACATGTTTGAAGTTTTGTGTTTGAAAATGCTGGAAAAACCAAGAAACACAAAAATATTCAAGTAGTCTGGTTCCTTGACTCCACTAAAGATAAAATGGATCAATTTATAGATGCCGGAAAATTGTAAGGTAAGGGAACCAGTCTAGCTGGCCTGCACCCGTTCATGAATATGTAACCAATAGCAAACAAAATTTGGACTGAAAAAAGTGTTAAGTTGGAGCAGTAGTTGAAAAATAGTTAGGTTTTTCCAACGGTGGTCGGCCGACCACCGTTGGAAATGTATACAAAAATACCATTTTCTTGAAAATGACTTCACACCAGGTGCCATAATTTTACAAATTGCTTTAGACTGTCATTTACCAAAATCCTAGTAAGGTATTTCGTAAAAACTTGGTAGTTTTATTTTTCGATGTTTGCAAATGTTGTATATTCCCTTTAAGATTGGCAAAATCGAAATTGGAACACAAAGGTGCATTTAGAAGGACCACAATGAAAAAAAAAATTTCATGGGCCCTTAAGCTTTAATGCTGGTGCATGTTTGCCGAAGCCTGAACACAGTATTTGTAAAAATCAGAAATATTTGTTGTTTTTTTTGGTTTGGCAGAGGAAGTACAGAAAGTCCCCTGGCCGGGTACCACCCCAGCGGATCTTACCACCAAGGAAATGTCCATGGCACCCCAACCCCTTGCTGACCAAGACGCTTCTGATGTCGACGACGTAAGTCTTTATCTGTCTGTTTGTCTGACTGTCTGTCCGTGTGTATGGCTGTCCGTCCATTTCAGTGACTCCCATTGAAATTTTTGAGCAGGTATGTGTTAGCCTGGTGACCTAGCACTTGTTTCGCAGTTGGAAGAACTGAATCTTTTTCACAACAGCGTTACGTATATGATTGCTGCACAATTATGAGAATCCGCAGTTTTGGCCATAGCATTGTGGCAAGAATATAATTTACGAAAAAATTACATTTTGAATGATCTTTTGAAAAAAAATATAATGTTATGTTTTCAGGTCTATCAGATGAAGTCAAAACCGCGAGGAATAGCAATCATCATTAACAACAAGCACTTCAGGACAATGAACACAAGGAAAGGGACTAACATTGATGGCAAGAACTTGAACTACGTGTTTGAAAAGCTGGGCTTCACGACTCTGTATAAGGAAGACCAGACAGGGGAGGTAAGACATAAATGCCCCTCCCACAAATTTGTATGGACTAATCCAGCAACAAGTAGAAGACTTTACAAATGAGGTCATACCATTTCGCATGTAGGTTGTACACGTGCACTAGATGTTTCTTCCATAAACCGTCACTTTCACTGCATCTTAGCGCCGGTTTCAATATAGCCTTGGTCAAGGCGTTTGCCATAATTCGGCCAATCATTACGCGGTAAACGATCGGCAGCATTTCCTCGCTATGCAGTGTATTAAAAATACAGTGTCAGAAACCACATTTTTGTGTGCATTGGTGCTGTGTGTAATGTGAGACATCGACACACGTGTGTGTATGTATTATGTACAGTACATGTCTCACCAGTATGCCGCTCGCAAACTATATGCACGTTTCCATGCAACGATCGACCAATAAGAAAACGTATTTTAAGGTCAGCTTAGGCTATTAGCATAATCAGCATCAGCTCAAAAACCTCACATGGCCGATTGGACCAAGGCGTTCGTCAGGATCCAAATGATTTGCATAAAATAGTGGCCGCATGAGGTCGCTGTTCGCGCTGTATTTTAATGCACTGCATAGCAAGGATATGCCGGGGATTGTTAACCGCGTACGGACGAATAATGACTAACGCCTTGACCAAGGCTAGTTTCAGTAATGACTGTTGGGGGAGTTCGCTGAGTCTGCTGACAACACTTTGTTCTTAAGTTTCTGGAGTTCTTGTGAATGTTCCTTAATTAATACAGCATCTGACTGAAAAATCTGACTTTTTTCTCTCTCAGCAAATGCAGCAGATTTTGCGCGAAGCTGCGAGCCACAACCACCAAACCTTTGACTGCTTCGTCATGGCCATCCTCAGCCACGGCGTAGAGGGCGCCATATACGGCACGGACGAGAGAATTGTCAAGATCGAGGACATCACGAGGTACTTTGAAGGAGGCCGGTGCCCGACGCTGGCAGGCAAACCAAAGCTCTTCTTCCTCCAAGCTTGTCGAGGGGGTGAGTGTGTTTTAAAGTTATTCAAAGATGAACACAGAAATAGACTAGACTGGGGTTTAAAGATGCGACCCCTGCAATACTGTTCCGGTACTCTACTAGTCTTGGCCCAAGACGTCAGTGATCAATAGCGATGGTTGCATTGTTGTAGAGTGCTCTTGCACAATTGGTTGTTTTTTTTACTTTATCGCAATAACGTCCTGGGAATATTGCAGTAATGGGGGCATGGCCATTTTATGTAAATTAGACCATTGGTGTTAAATATTAATATCTTCGAACAAAAACAGCGGCTTCCCATTTGATACCCGTAGTCGCTCTTGCGGGGTTATATCAGTACTTTGCATATCTAATTAGCCATGCTTGATCACTGCAAGTAGAGCGTATGTTAACAACCATCGCGTAAGGGCGTAAGACTGACTATAAACCATTTCACAATCGCTGATTGATTCCATAGGAAAGCCAATATCGATCACTATTGTCTTGGGCCAAGACCGGTGCTCTACCAACTGAGCTATCCAGCGCTATGTTGGCAGTTCCCGATTATGTCAATGTCTTTGTTCAAGTGGCGCTAGTCGGAAACCGTTAGCCAGCATATGCCATGTAGTCAGGGATCATGCCCAAAACTCACGATGCTTGCAATGCTGCAAGCCTGGTAGAGCAATGCTGCAAGCCTGGTAGAGCAATGCTGCAAGCCTGGTAGAGCAATGCTGCAAGCCTGGTAGAGCAATGCTGCAAGCCTGGTAGAGCAATGCTGCAAGCCTGGTAGAGCAATGCTGCAAGCCTGGTAGAGCAATGCTGCAAGCCTGGTAGAGCAATGCTGCAAGCCTGGTAGAGCAATGCTGCAAGCCTGGTAGAGCAATGCTGCAAGCCTGGTAGAGCAATGCTGCAAGCCTGGTAGAGCAATGCTGCAAGCCTGGTAGAGCAATGCTGCAAGCCTGGTAGAGCAATGCTGCAAGCCTGGTAGAGCAATGCTGCAAGCCTGGGAATGGTAAGATATTCTGGAGATGGCAGGTTTATTTTTCTTTGCTCAATGTTTAAATTATTGTAATGTAAAGAGTCAGTTTCCCATGTGGTTTCTTTGATTATTTAATTTCAAATATTCCAGAATGGTAACTAATAAAGGGTTATTACCCCCGACCGCTGGGCCAGTGATTACTTCTGGAACCCTCATTGCCATTTTCATGACACACTATTTAAGGGCCATGACACACTCAGTAGTGCCAAAAGCAGGATCTTGAAATCTCCTGCACCCACAGCTAAAAACAAAACCAAGAACTCCTTATAAATGTCAACACGATCAAAAATGAAGTGAGACTTGGGCACGTGAATGTGATTTACAGAGAGATTCGACGGAGGCCATGAAGCCACAGATTCTAAGGGGATTGCCCCCAGTGACGCTAACGCCATGCAAGACTCCGTAGCACCGATATCCGATGAGGAGCTGGCCCAGCGGATGCTGGAACGAGAATTGGAAGACGACACGGACGCCTCCAATGCCATCCGATCCAAACTGCCCAGTCAGAGTGACATGCTGCTTGCGTTCGCCACGGTGCCAGGTAAGTTGTGCATTGCTGCGGATTGCAGACAGATACTTCCGGCCTCGCTCGTTGCATGTTTATCTGTCATCCGTTCCGAATACTGCCTGTATACACGTCATCCGACGTAAACTGGTTCAAAAAGTGTTCCTGCGGGCTTACTTTTTACCTGCGTCAGCAACGGAATCCAGCTACAAGACCCAAGAGTTGTGCACTATGTTTTCTCTGTTTTTCTCAAAAATATTTTAGAAGCCAATGAGCCTTAAAGCTATAGTCCATCATTTGCAGCTATCCAAAAAAGTAACTGGCGTAATTATTGTTGAAAAACATACTGGTTGAAAGATAGTAAGGGGACTAAACTCCCTGTGAAATTATCCTTTCTGGCAAGCTGTCATTTTGAAGAAATCAATGAAAGAGAAGCACCGTAGGAAAATTTAAATTAGGTGTTCGTTTTGTTATCCGGCGCAGCGCGCACAAGCATTGGAACGACGCACAGGCGCACGGTTGCTATAATTCGTCGGATCAGTGCACGACATCGCGTAAAGCTGCAATTCAAAACAATTCGAAACATGATTTAGCAACTTTTGATTTTAAATTGAGATCCTATAATGCTGTTTTTCTCGGAATATGAAGCTGAAGCTGAGCTGAAACTTCATCAGGTTATTTGTTCAGTATCCTTCATTATATTTTGAGCACTTTTGTTGCTTCAAACGAACAAAATGCACTAATAACAAATGATGGACTATAGCTTTAACTTCAACAGGTTAGTTATTATGCATTCTACTGAATATTTTGAGCAGTGTTGTTGCCTCAAAACGAAACAAAAATGCACACACATAAAGTAATCCTGTGTACCTTTAATTAATAGTACTCAGTTAAAAATTTCTGCAATTTGACATATTAACTTCATGAGGGTTAAAATACACTGCTTTTGACTTTTTTCCCAACAGGCTTTGTGTCATGGCGTAACTCGGAGCGTGGTAGCTGGTTCGTGCAGGCGCTGTCGGAAGTGTTTCTGGAGCACTCAAACACAGAGGACCTGCTGTCAATGATGACTAGGGTGGGTTTCCATGTTTGAAATCAGAGGTCCCAAGTGACCCATGTGTATTGAAAGGGACAGTGAGGGGCAGAAATGTTCATGACTGAGAAGCAGTAGCATATCTCACTTTGGGTCCGGGGGGGGGGGGGGGGGGGGGGGGGGGGGGGGGGGGGGGAGGGGGGTGGGAGAGGGGTTCTTAAATTTTTCTGAAAAATAGTAGAAAACAGACTACATGTAGTGGGGGCGGGGTATACCATGACCAGTAGCGGTTGGGAGGTACTAGTGCTTTCAATTGAAACATGTTGGGGGTGGGGGTGGCATGCTGGAGGGGGGGGGGGGTGGCATGTTGGAGGGGGGGGGTGGGTGGGTGGGGAGGGGGTTAACATTCCAAAATAGTTTGGTAAGGGTAAAACCCAATTTTGAACTTAATTTTGTCTCTCTGTCTCCTAAAATCACAGGTCAACAACAAAGTCGCCCGCGCTTTTGAGTCTTCCTCGGGACGCAACAAGCAGATCCCGGCCCCCGTGACGATGCTGCGAAAGAAACTCTACTTCAACCCTGGACGTTAGGTGACAAAACTCCAAACATAAAAAAAAAAAAAAACCTTAATTGTATGTACCTTGTTCTTGACGCAGTTGGATTTCAGTGTAGGTCTGTTTTTTTTATTCTCAGTATCACTCTCAAGGCCAATTCCAAAGAGTGTCTTAGCATATGTGCTTAGCCCAAATGAAAACTTGCTTAGGGAAAATGGGTGACCAGCCAAAAAGCCTTGCAATGTACGTTGACCACGACTGGTTCCCTGCTGTTTTTGATCTGTAAGAAGTAGTTAAGAAATAGTTTTTGCAAAGCAGCTGCATGCAAGTGGGTTCTGTTGGTAATTCCCGCTTAAAGCCATCATGTAGGATTAAATGCAATTACCAAAAAAACATACCTACCGATTTTAATAACAGAACCCTTGCTCAAAACTGAAGATAGGACTGGTGTAAATATACCGCAGGCACTGTGAATTTATTGTCTGAAATGGTACCAGTCGGAAGGTGGTTTCAAAGTAGGGTGACTGCAGGCACAATCTTTTATCTGCATTAGCAACGAAATTCAGTAACGAAAACCCAAACATTGTGCAAATGTATTATGCAAACATTATGCAAAACAGTGTCCACTGTGCAGTGGCGCATCCAGGATATGGCTTTTGGAGGGGGGGGGGGGGCTTACTCATGCCTCATGTATACCTTATCATCCTGCCACCATTTCAGTCATGTTCCCTGTATTCAGTAACAGTACTGAATGATAACGTTTTTTTTGTGCAGAAAGGAACCAGACTATTTTTCCTTCCTGCCTCGCTTTGGTTACGTTGATTTGAATTGGAAAAAAATCAAGATGGCCGCAACATGATAACGGTCTATGGGGGAGGGAAGGCAGGGGGCATGCCCTAGTGACGCGACTGCTGTTGTGTTTCATGCGTCACTCATATTGTCTGAGTAAAATTATGACTGCCCTTCTTTGTTTGTAAGAATCCAATCGGTTTAGTTTGTTTTTGCTTTTTAACGATAGTACTAAACTTTGTATAAAGCGTTAACGTCAGGCTTGGGTAACTGTACCAGAATCGACCAATGTTGTGGTAGAGTCCATCACGAGACCAGCACAATTGCGGTCGGACCATAGAGCTATATTAAATGACTAGACCGCTAACTCCTCATTCCCCCACAGAGAAACTTTGAAGCCGTCCTGTGCACAGGCATTTTTGAATTCATGTGCATGTTTGCAGAACATAATGAAATTTGAGATTTGAAGGTTTGCATGGTCGAAAGATACTAAGACAAGACAAGACGAGCTTCAGCAGTTGCATCCTTCTCACGCCTCACCGCACCCATCCTTGTAACATCGCATCATCGTTGGAATCCCTCATTCTCCTGACGACAGGCAGAGCATACTTTTCGAAACGTTGAGTCCCTCTGGTTCTTTTCAGAACCACACATACTCACAAAAGAGATTTATTCACATGGTGCTACCGCAAACTTATCTTGTCTTATAATGAAATTTGATAAAATGAATTTCAAATAATGTACTCTTAATGCAATGCGCAAGTACAACATCCACGAACAATGTAAGCACTATTTTTACGTGTATGACGTACCGGAAGATGGCGGCTAGGTTTGTGTTGTTTGTGCAGAGCAAAGTGAAACGCCCAGTTACTGATTGCGCGTTTCGGTTTTTGGCATATATCAGCTACAATTTGGCTTTGATAGTGCACAGGTATAGAATGCACACCCAGATATGCAAAAAGCTGTACTAAATCCAAAGTTTCTATATTTTGAATTTTCCATAGGTTTGTGCACAAATATGGTGCGCCCAGCAGGCTTGATTTGTATAGCGAGTTATTGCTCTTGTAATTTAATATAGCTCTATAGGTCAAACAGAAAGCACAGGTCTTGTAATAAAAAAAAAAAATGAAAAAAAAATAATAAGGCGATATCAAATATGACTAGTTGAAAAAGAGCATGAATTCAGCTTAGAGTAGTAAAACATTTGACCTGCTATTAGGCATTGAATGAAGAAATTTGTATTTCGGCTCAATTTTTTTTATGAGAACATCCCAATTTGGCCTTTTTTTTACTGCTTGCTTGTCCAACTGTTGGAGGGATGGAATTACTTTTCAGCTTTTTGGCTCGGAAAATTGAAACGGTCGTGACTTGAAATTCCAATTATTTCTCCAGGCTGTTGGATCTACTGAAACTTTCACAATTTCTCCTTTATTATTTTGACACTGCCTAAACGTGGGCAGTTTTTGAAGTTCATCAAAATCTTGTCTTCTCACAGAGAAAAAAAAGGTTAAAAAGGTTGTCAGTTTTTTTTGACAAAACAAAATTGGTCAGTTCTATGAGGATAGAGGTTGGGGGACCGGGGAGGGGGCGGGACATTTAATTCCTTGAAGGGGGGGGGGGAGATGGATACAGTTTTTGAATCAGAACTTACGTAACTGTAAATTAATAATTAAACTAATCTTCATAATTCTAATAGTGAAATATTCCTACAAAAGAAAACAATGTTTTGAAAACATCCAGACTACCCTGAATGTTACAGTGTTTGTATGAGCCAGTTTTCAGACTCATTTTTCATGTCAACCAAAATGTATTTGTTATCTTTGGATACCGGGTCATTAGTTCTTTCGCATAACCACAGGTATGTGAACCCAGTGATTTATTGGTGCATAAATTCTCATGGCACCCCCATTGTTTTTTTAAGGGGTAGCTCGACCTAGAACTACAGTAAAGGTCACAGGTCACAGGTCACATGTATGTTGAACCCTTTGGCTACATGGAAGTATGTCAGGATTGATTTTTCTGTATGTTAGTGCAAGGAAATGTGTCCCATGAGCAAGTTTGGAGAGAAACAGTAAAGGCAAGATTTTTTTATGCAGGGAAAAACGGAAATAGTGGTTGGAATGTTAGAAGAAGGTTTTGGAATGTGTCTCATGCTAAACAAATTTACCATGAACGAACTGCTAATTGATTTCTTTCATTTCACCAGCAATTGGAAAGATTAATTCATAATTTATTTCGGATATTATAATGTAAAATGCAATGAAGTTATATTGACAAATTCCATAATCGTAATAGTGTGTGATGTGATTGCATAATTGTGAGGTAAAGTGAGTCAATGGGCTTTGTGCATGATTTCTCATCATTATAGTGAAAAGTACGACAGTGAAAAGCTCGATGTTGGGGTTTTCCCCGTACACAATGATTTACATGAACTTTAAGAGAAAAAAACAATCTCACCTCTTGGACTGGTTTCTGGCCCACTTCTGTTGAAGTCTTCGAAGGAGAGGCTGGGAACCAGACACCCTCACATGGATAAATAGCGCCCTCTGTTGTTTATGCACAGAGCCTGTAGAAGTTACTTTACTAGATATTATAATGTAGTAACCTATATACATATACTCTCAATTTGTGATTCGGATACATATTTACGAAAATATTTCGGATACAAGTGTTGCCTAAAGTGTTTCCATGACTAAGTTGTACGTCGACCCTGTGACACTTGCCGATTTCCTCGAGGCTGATCACCTAGTGATTTCCCAGTGAACATATTTATTCACTACATTGGATGTGTATTCGAAAATGGCTTTGTATTGGGAGTTGTGGAATTCCACCTGTACCCCAATGGCCAGTGTAGTGCAGCTAAGTACAAATTGTTACACCTCTATGTTCCGACACCCCTATGTTCCGACTGCACATATTCCTTATATAACTAACCCTAACCCTAACCAGTAACACAATCGTATGTGCGGTTTGCCGGAACATATAGGGGTGTCGGAACATAGAGCAGTCACCGTACAAATATATTTCCTAAATTAGAAAACAAATACTGGCTGTGTGATGTTTTCAGCTGATTTTGTTTCTTTGCACAAAATCGGTTAGCTATATTTGCTTTCTATCCGCTCCAAGAAATTCTGACCTCTGGCCTCCAACAAGATTGATGTGATCAACTCGCAGAACAGAATTCTGTCTCAAAACCACTCTGGACTGTACCAACTCTTGATGTGTCCTTTTGTAGTAATCCTTTGTCTTCAGACCAAAAATTCTTCGTTAATCGTGTACAAATATATCTTCGTGACGAAAGAGTTTTTAAGTTCAGTTTTTCTGCTGAGCATGACTTTGAATGACCTTTCGTCCTTTCATGAAATCATGTACATGTACATGTTCCCTTTAGTGGAGTGTCATGGCCTAGCGGTTAAGAACACCGGACTCTGGTGTTTCAGAGGCAACAGTGACGTGGGTTCGAGCCCGCCGGCGGACACTTGTGCACTTAACCATTATTACTTCGTCCTTCGGATGGGACGTTAAGCCGTAGGTCCCGTGTGTTGTATAAATGCACGTACATGTAAAAGAACCCAGTAAACACTTATCGCTAAGAGAAGGGGTTTGCCCCGGTGTTTCTGGCCTCCTGTACAAACTCCCACGTGGAGTATCTAGGAGAAGAACCAACCAAAAACCAAAACCATAAACTTTAAAGAACCATTGTCCGCAACCGCAACGCCAACATCTATATATATAAGAGAGAGTTGTGCTCGATTATAATGTAGCAGTGTGCGTTACCTAAAAAACTTTATACAGTCGAACTGTAAGAAGGTACTTGGGACTTAACAAATTACCTTGTTATAACAGGTACCTTGTATGAACAGAATTTAAAAACAAAGGAAAACAAAGAAGAAATATACTTGACCGAAGAATGTTGCTTGTTGTAAGCAGGACCTTGTGTTAACAGTGCTCTTCCTACCAGGGTTCGACTGTATATAAACCGTTCCCGTTCACGTATACCCCATGTGAAACCATTGTAATGATATACACAGTCGAAGTTAATAAACTTGACAAAGTTTTAAAAAACAACAACATGTGATTGGTGTATTAATGCTGTGTGTGAACAGAGGGAGAGTAAACCACTAAAAACTCTTGTCTCAATAACATTTTTGCTGTTTGTATTATTTTCCAATCGACCATTATAGAATACAGGGTGAGTAAAAAAAACGAAACCCAAATGTCGGGACCTTTGCTTTTCGTGAAGTTCTGCATGTAGCACTTTCAA